AAAGGCAAAGGCAAAGGCCGCGAGGCTCGCCCCTCCCGAAGTCGCAATACTACCCCGAACTCCAGCTTCAGCGCCGGCCCGACCGCCTCCGCCCCGCTCCACAGCTACCTCGACAACGATGTCTCCAAGCTGATGATGACTGGCTCGACCATCCAGTATGGAGAATTGCTCGAGCGCATGGGTGGAGTTGGCCCGATCCCCGATTCCAAGTCACTCGAGTTGTTGATGGAACACCTCAAGACCCTGAGCCAGCTAGCCGAAACGCGAGGTGACGCATGCAATGCCGGCATCAGAGAGCTATCACAGAAGCGCAAGGAGGTCGTTGAAGAGCAAGAGTCAGCCGAGCGCGAAGGGACCGATCGAGTGAAGATGAAGCGAGAAGCCGATGACGAGGAGGAAGAGAAGGTACTAAAGGGAGGCAAGCTAAAGAGGCGCAAGGAACGCGGAAGCAGTTCCAAGGAGGAACGTCCGCTGACTCACGGTGCCCATGATGTTGCGCGACAAGACGGTGCTGAGACGAAGGTGGAAGGTGGTGAGTCTATCATCCACTCCGTATTTGCGATGAAGTGTAGCGTTTCAAGTCTACTCATCATGCGCCTCGATCCTATGCTAACTCATATAGCCGCATCCCCAGCTTCCAAAAAGTCCAAGAACGCTGCTTCCGAAGAGGCCTCGTCTCTATCCCCCACATCGCGAAAATCTCCCCAACCAGCGGCCGATGAAGCGGCCGAGGATGCAGGGTCGCCCGGATCGGACGATAGCTCCGAGTCACACCAACCTGAGCCCGCGCCGGCCGTGCCACAGGTGCAAGTGTTCGGTCCCAACCCGCTCAAATTCGATGACCCCACCATATATCACATCCGGGAGGTTACTCCAGATATGACCGATGAGGAGAAAAAGGCCATTTACAGCGTCGCCCGCTTCCCCTGGAGTGATTTGAGCCATCTGATGGCAGGTTCCCCTCCGGATCGCGATTTCAGCAGCTCCAAGCCCGCGAGTCAAGTCAACGCCAACACATTTCTCGCCTATATCGATCCATACGTCCGCCCCTTGACAGAAGAAGACATAGCGTTCCTTAAAGAGAAGGTGAGCTCTCCAATCGACCTCGCCAAGGCCCATCGCTCACCCACCCAGGGCGATCGCACGACCCCCTTCATCATGCCTCGACGCGGAAAGAAACACTACACCGAAGTATGGGCCGAGGACGATGGGCTCATGAACGTCGACCAACCCAACGGCGACAAAGAGCGGCTACCGCTCAACCAAGGCCGAGGAAACATCGACCAAGTGACCGACGAGACCGTCGAAACCGACAAAGTCTCCGTCGGCCCTCTCGTCAGCCGTCTCTACTCACTACTCCGCTACGAGCATCGAGCTCTCCCCGATGAATCCGCCCCCAACGCCAACGGCTCCGTCAACGGCGACATGGCGAACGGCCCCCTGAACCCCGACTCTATGGACATCGACCACCCAACCGGCGAGACCTCCAACGAAACCAAGCCCCTCCCCTCCGCAACCGCCTTCCCTGACTCCTCCCCGAACAACTTCAAAGTCCCCGCCGCCAAGCTCGACCACTCGCAGCTAGACGAGCGCCTGAAAGCCGAACTCCGCCACGTCGGTTTCCTCGGCCCAGACGACAACCCCGACTACGACGCCCACTACGACGATGACATCGCCCAACGCCTCCGTCTGCTCCAAAGCGAGCTCAAAAAACAAATGATCATCAACAGCGCCCGCAAGACCCGTCTCCTCGACATCGCCCGCGAACGCATGGCCTACCAAGAGTACATGACCATCCACGACGACCTGGACTCCCAGGTCCAACAGGCCTACCTGAAACGCACCCGCACCCTCGGAAAAAGCAAAAAGGGCTCCCAGGCCAAACACCGTCCCGGTGGCGCCGGCGGCGGCAGCCATGTCGTCAGTGCTGCAGGCGTTGGCCGTCCCGCGATTGGTGATGTTGCCCGCACGCTTATGGATCGACGTAAGCGGTGGCGCGATTGCATCGGTCTGGTCTTCAAGGATAGTAAGACTAGTGTTCCTGGGAAGAATGAGTCGGTCTTTGAGCCGTCATTGATGGCGGAGGTTGAGAAGGCCGAGGTGGAGGGCTGGGATGAGGAACAGGAATGATTGATCGATGCATCCATTCCTTGCTTGCTTGTCCTTCCTGCCCGTTTATTCCGGTTTTCGCTTCGATGTACATATTGCGTTTGTTTTGTTTGATTCCTTCTTTGGCTGATATCTTAGCGATGATTGAGTAGGGGATTTTACCTTTTGGTTTAGCTTTGGGTTATGGCGTTGGGGAGGGATGAATGATTGGATGGATGGATGGATGGATATGATCGAGATGTTTTACTTGTGAGGTAACATATAGTCAGTGTATCAGCTGGGAAGATACATGGATCTTTATATACAGCCTGTTAGGTAACGAAGATTAATACCACTCTACTTACTTTATTACTGTAATTATGCTATGTGACTCGAAATGATTACTGATATAGGTGTATTTAATGTATATTGGTGGGTAATAATTTAGCAAATCGGGTATCAACATAAACGAAGCAGGCTAAGAAAGGAGTAGAGGTAGTAATTATCGATGCAATATGAGCACCTCCCCCGGGAACCTCTTCAACCGCGCTGTCAACTCCCTCTCGCTGATCTCCAACTCTGTACAGATCTGATCGAAACAATGCATCCCATCGAGATACTTCGACAGCGTCTTGTCATCAATATCATCTTCCTCTTCCTCCCCTTCGAGAGTCACGATCGTGGCCGGCCGACTTCCACTGTAAACTGATGTTGAGTGATGGCTGGGCCCACCATCGTGCTGTGCAATCGGAGCCGGGTCGTCTCCCGCACTAGTGGCGTAAGGACTGTTCGTGCCTGTGCCGGGCCCCCGCGAAGATGGACCGCTGGGTGGATGTAATGAGGGCGAGCTGTGGTGATGATAGTGAGAGGATTTCGAGGGTGGTGCTGGGTTTCCGGTTGCTATGGCGTATTTGTGTACACGGTAGATGAAGCCCTTGATGACGCCGAAAGTAATGAAGCGGCGGATGTCAATGTGGGCGAGTTGTCGACTGTGTTGGAGGTACCATTGTTTGACGCTTTGGCCTTGCTTGAGACTGGCGTAGAGTTCAACGAGGCCGACGCCGTCGACGAGCTGGGGCTCGGTGGGATGTGTGTCTGTGGTAGTGGCGGTGTCGTCGTCGGTGACTGTTCCTGGAGCCGGCGACGTGGTTCTGCTGCTGCTGGCTTGGATGGTGCCGGCGCTAGGACTTGGGCTAGGGGTTCGACTAGGGCTGCGGCTGGAGATCGTGATCTCGCTGGCGCTACTGGCTGTGAGAGGTTGACCGACTGGGGGCCAGACGGTGTCGGGATCGTAATGCGGGGGATACCCCGGGGTCAGGGCGGCCGAGGCAGCGGTGATTGGAGAGGCAAAGACGGTGTTGACGTAACGGGCGCATTCCTGCTGCATTTCTTCGTCCGTGGCAATTGTGGAGCTGAATTGGGCGGTTGGGGCATAGATGGCTGAGAAAGAGAAAATGTCGAGGAGGAACAAGCAGCCGTAGTAGAGCAGGTGACGAATGGCGCGGCAGGTTAGGGAGAAGTCTGTATCGGCAAGAATGGAAATAATCCGAACGCTATTGACGCCATTGATGTGGGGGACGATCTGGAGGGGAAGTTCAGCTTGCTGCGATGCAGCGAGAGGCGTAGGTATGAACGTACTCGTTGCATGGTCAGATCCCAGTTCTCATCCATGAAGGTCTGGTAGCGGACCGTGAACAGCGGCACATGCCATGCCTTGACAGGCGGCGGGGCGGGATAGATGGGGAATAGCTTGATGTTAAGGGTGTTCAGCTCGTCTGGGATCTCCCGGGTTAGCAGCTGAGATTTGGGCAGACGCGCAGTGGACTGAAAGGGTAGGCGTTACCGATTGGGATCATGCACTCGCAGTAATTGTTCAGATCCTCCATCAGCGTCTCACACAGGCTGTATACCTTCCCCTCACCGGATTTGGAATGATCTCGCGAAAGGAAGCCATTCTGCTCCTCCAATCCATGCATCAAATCGGCCAGCTTCTGCACAACACTCTTGTAGGTGCTGAAATCCTCATCCTCCGACAGCACCACGCAGAAATTGAAGATGAATTCATTCCGGTCGTATCGCAGGGACTTCATGCAGATCGGATAACCCAGAATGCGGTAGCCATTGGTGCAGACCTGGATCAGGTTCCCACACAGCTCCTGCCGGGGAATAACGAAGAAGGAGATGTCGGAGAAAGTGAGGAAGAGGGGCTGCGAGGGGGCAGTTGCGGAGGGGACAATCGCGCCATCGGGGACTTGGTGGACGACCTTGGGCCCTGAAGCAGTCAGCAAATGACATTGCATAAAACCTTTAATAAGACTGGAGCTGCTTACCTTCCTGTGTGTCGAATTTGCTGTAGAAGATGGCTTTGATCATGGTGGAATGGGAGACATCGAGAAGGAAGGGGAGGGGGGGAAAGACAGACAAGTTCGCGGGGAGCTGCGGGGAGCTTCCAGCCCAACGCGGAGTTTCCAGCAAATAAGCATCCATCCGCCGACCGCTAACTGTTAATCGCCCCCTCACTCTTTGGGATATTCACAACGCTCTCAGATCATATCATATGATTATATAAAATTATTCTCTATTGTGTGTTACCGCATTCTTCTAATCTGCAATTTATTTCGACTTTAAAGAAAAGACGATCAACGAAGGCGCATCTATGTGCAAATGGTGCCGCATGTGGCTCAAAGGGGGTATTACAACTGTAGAAAGTGAAAAAAGGAGGACGCGCAGAGTCACGGGAAATCTATACGGTCGAAAGAGGAATCGGAGATGTGAGAAGCAGAGCAATGAGCAATATCGCCAAGGAAGATATCCACCGAGGATGCGCCGCAAATGCATGAATCAGAGTAGCCGGACCCATTTCGCTAAATGTTGAACCTCGCAAGGAAAGGAAACCGCAGTCGACTGCCGTTCTATCGGGCTGTCCGTGACGACGAATGAGCATAACGATGGATACCCCGGCTCGACAGCATGGACGGGGTGGGGAGAACGAATGGCTCTGAAAGTGAGGCAGATGATCGACCGCCGACCCTTCCGACGGGCGGCATTGGAGGAGACGTATCGTATAGGTAACCCAGTGGCTGACCCATCCGGATCGCACTGAGCACGTCGGTGTAGCTCCCTCGCTCCCCGGCTTCCTTCAGCCACTGCTCCCAATCCTCGTCCAGTGACACGTCTGCCCCCTGCTCGCGGGCCGCGGTCGCCGCTATGAGGCGATGGTTCAGCTCGACTCCGCAGCTTTCCATTTCGTCGTCGCTTGAATCTTCCTCCTCTTTCTCTTCCACAATGCAATCGATCCCCCGGTCATCGATCAAGCTGCTGGTAGAGCGCACGGTCTCGAATGTCACCACCGGGTATTCCGGTTCTGGCAAGAGTTCATCCTCTTCCTCCTCCGTCTCATCCTCGTAGTGGACCTCGATCGATGGGAGGGGAGAAGGAGAAGCGGGTCGAATATTGTCTGCCGTAGTATCGCGGACTTTGACTCCCTCTTCCTTCTCGTAACGCTCACGAGCCGATTTGGTGCCCTCCCAGCGGCAGAGGGAAGAGATCTCAGTCTCCGTAAGACCGAGCTCGTCAAACGCCCGGAACAGTCTTCGGTGCCATGGAAAACGACCGAGCCTCATGCGGTGTGGACCGTAGGAATAGTCAAGTCCCGGATACTGAGCCTCGGGGCAGTCAAGCGATCCATAGAATGTGGATGTTTCGACTCGAACTTCGGGGACCAGGTTGCGGGTAATATGTGCTGAGAATGTAGCCGGATCACTCGCGCGCGGGCGCGGAAATAATGTGCTGTGCACTATTTGGGCCAGTGAAGGCTTATGCATGGTGATGGTGATGGCGGTGTTGACAGTAAGAGTTGGAGACGGGGAGCGTTGATAAGGGACGGAGGTATGTAGTAGTATACCAAGGAGAAGTATAGAACAACTCGGAAAGAAAGGGATGTTGATTAAAAGATGGGGGTGAAACTTGGAATGTGGAAAGGAGGGGAAGGGAACAAGTGAAGACTAGTAACAATAAAATAAATGAGAGTTTGGTCGTTCAATAGCGGAAAGGCAAGGAATGAATCGAGGGCAGGAGATGCAAAAAAGGGACTGTGAATGCAAATAGATCTGGTTCCGGACGGGGGGCCGTTGGGGATCGTCGGGCAATAGTGGAAAACGGGGACGGGCTAGAAAAGGAGATATGCCGCGATGCAGTCGTCAGATCTCGCCACGGTTTCAGCCACGGCCCGCATTCAAATATGAATTAGTGAAACGGTCGTTAAGGCGGGTAGTTATGATTGCTTAAGGGGAAGGCCGACGCAGAAAAGGCATGCCTCCACCAGATCAACACATGGAAACCCGGTCCACACGTGGGTTCAAATTGAAGATGAAGATGAGGGTGGGTATGGGACGCTGATGACGATGACCCCCAGACTCTATTTATCCTCCTTATCGGTTCGACTTTGGGATCGTTGGGCTCTTGGTGAGAGGTGTTGTAACACGCCAAATGTCTTGACTTCAGGTACCGTTAGGACCCAAAGCCTAATGCGTCAGTTCTTGTCACTTAAGAAGCCTAGTAAGAATGGCCCATGGTGATGACGATGATGATGATCGCTGTCGTCCGTAGGGCTGTTCCCGATCCAGGGAAAAGCAGGGAAAAGAAAGCGTTAGTGATGATTTCCAGAAAAGAAAATCAAGCCCGGGTTGGGAAAAGCGAAGGATGGAGGTGATCATGTTTATATATCAGGCCAGGAGTCTTTTGGTGCCAGTCGGGTGACACACACTGGGACAGACCGGACCACGCATGCAAATGACCAGCGCATAGGGGACGAACTGCGTGGAGTCGTGAGTTAGCCAACCTAAATCCGTGACAACAGGAGAGATCCATCGAAGGACGAGTTGTCCGCCTCTCCCAATAAAGTCGAGCCATGAATGGCACCGAAACCTGTGCTGGCGAGCGGGTCTTGACGCCCACTCGCCTCACAGTCATTGCCTGCAAGGCCACTTGGTCGCGGGCAGGGCTTTCTCTGCCCGTTGGCTTTCACGCCGGGGCCATGTAGGTACTTGCCCTGGAGAGCCCCGGATTATACCATGATAGGATCAGGACAATTTTTCTCACTCGTGGGAGGGAAGGCCTAGACAAGGGGTGAGCAGCTGCCTGTTGATCCATCAGTAACGGGCCGCGGATGGGCTGGTCAGTGAGTTTCTTGGTGTGCAGAGAGATAGAAGGAAATCCTCTTGTCTGGCTGCTTAAGACTAGGGTCCGGGCAAGTGGCGGTAAGATTCAGTAGCAGTAGTACTTAGTAGATCGGGCAGGCACAGCAACCTCATCATCATCGTCATCCAATGGTGCCAATGAGAAAACAAATCATCTCCTCCGTCACACTTCGAGTTGTTTTCTACTTCAACCATCGAGTTGTTCACCGTTTCGTAATATTTGTCGGTCACGTGTATACACGCTCCCGATTGGGAAACCACGGTCACCACAACTGCCTCTTCTTTTTGCCATCTTCTCGTCTCTCCTTCCAACTCATCATCATTATTGTCATCGTCATCATTTCACATGCCGCTTTTGTCGACGGTACAATTCTATCGTCCCAGGATGAATTAAGTTGCGTGCCGCTCCAGCCTCCGTCCATTGTGACGCAACCACGTCTAATTAATGTCGACCTTCGATGGGTTTGTCCGGGGTAGGTGTATACTTCCGATCCCTCGATAAGCTAAGTCTGTTCTCTAATGCACTGTAGAATTTCCCTCCATTCAGAGTAAGAACTTGGTAAACTCCCGATAGGTGAATATCAACTCTAAAAAAGTCATGCAGTTGACTACTTCCGCAAGAACCCAGACAGGCCGCCTCCGCTCGCCTGTTTTCTCAGCCATGTTCACAGTGACCATCTTCAAGGGCTGGAGTCATTTAGAACTCCGTTTATATACTGCTCTGCAGCGACTCGAGAGGTGCTTATCATTCTAAATCCTGCCGTAGCACAAGCTCATCTTCTCCCAGATGCTCCTGCGTATCGAAAAGTATCCTCATCGTATGAACTTTAGCAAAGGGATCCTAGAGTCCCGGAAGCTGCATTATAAGCATCTGTCTAAGCTTCTGGTATGTATTCTAAACCCTTTTCATTATAGTAAACTCACTGGCACAGAGGCCAATCCCGTTGAACACGCCAACGGAGCTGGATCTCACCCCACGGCTGTCAATCAGAGTCACTCTGTTCGATGCAAATCACTGCACAGGCGCAGTAATGTTTCTGATAGAGGGGAATGGAAAGGCTATACTGTATACTGGCGATATTCGCGGTATGTAGTCTCTTCACTAGCTTCCGCAAGCTTATTTCCCTGCTAATGGACTGTAGCTGAACCCTGGTGGGTTAACAGCATTATCCGGAATCCCGTTCTCGTCCCCTATACCCTGGGAATCAAGCAGCTAGACAACATATACATTGACAACACCTTTGCCCGTCCGTCGCATGTATGTCATACCTTTCCATCAAAGGCAGAGGGCTTGAAAGAACTTCTGAACAAAGTCCAAGCGTATCCAGACAGCACTACATTCTATCTTCGGGCTTGGACCTTTGGCTACGAAGAAGTCTGGATGGCACTGTCAGCTGCCCTCGATTCGAAGGTGCGTATTGTTTTCTACAACAACCAAGCTGTTGTGCTGATACAACCAGATCCACGTGGACCGATACCAAATGGATCTATACAGGTCACTAGCCGCACGCGGTGTGAACGACGCTCCTTTCCTCTGTGGATATGAACTCGGTAATCGGTTCGTTCCAGGCTGCCTTAGCGAGGATGAGAATTCCCGCATCCATAGCTGCGAGCCAGGCGTCCACTGCTCCGCGGCTGCGTCTCAAGACACCGTCCGCATCACGCCAATTGTGACCCGCACAAATGATGGCTCAGAGATGCCCGAGATCGGGGCTGGTGGGGGAGGCGGTGATCTATACCAAGTCCATGAACTCGAGCTCCCGGACCAGTCGGCACTGGAACAGTTAGAAAAGCTCTGTTCCGAGCGCATTCAAGATACTAGTGCACTCTCTCAGACGAGACAGGCTCTTACCGACGCGTTCCGATCAAAAACCAAAGCACTATCTCTTGACAACTACGGAATGAAAGAAGCACATGACTTGCCTCTAGAAGACCTCGTGGGCATACTGAGTCGTGGCCGTCCTGATGACGATACTACATCGAGCAAAATGAATCAGCACACACATCTACGAGACAGACAAGGCAAATCCCTCCCCAAGAGCATTGTACGTATTCATCATAAACCTCTGCCCTTAAATACTCTCTAACGTCCATAGCACTTCCCCTACTCCCGCCACTCCTCATACTCCGAGTTGTGCCATCTCGTTTCCGCATTCAAGCCCAAAGATGTACACCCTTGCACAGTCGATCCTGTGAGCTGGGACGAGGAAGTATCCATGCAAACCCTATTCGGGCACCTCTGCAGCGCGAGTGGATTCGCCCACGACCAGCAGATGCGGGACCTAACAGCAAACGATCCAGAGATACGAGCAAGAAAACGAGCCCGCTACGAAGGTTCCTTTACAACACAGTCCAGCCAACAAACATCCAGCATGGTAGACAGCAGTATACCAGAACCATTCCAACCAAGCCACCCTCCACCCCCCGCAGCCATCTCTGATCTACTGTCCTCCTCAGATCGAATCCCCCTTCCATCGTCCCTTGAGCCAATCGAAGAGCCCACCCCAGTACCCACGAACCATCCTCTCGTCATCCCCACCCCATCCCCAGAAACCGCAAAGGCACGCCGCGACGAGATCCGCCGTGCCTGGCACATGCTCAACAACGCCGTGCCCTCCGAACGAGCACTCTACCAGCTCGACTCCCTCCCTTCTTCTTTGGCCGAGAAAGAATTCGAACTACCTAAGTCTGAAATCGCTCCAACCCCGCATCCTCCACTAGACAACCCACCTCATACTACAATAACGGCCAAACACATCTCATCAATACAAACACAAACATCCTCTTCCATTATCAACACCAACCCAGACCCCCAACATTCAATAACATACACTCAGCCCTCAGCCACACCACCACCACACTCAGATGACAATGAGAACCAAACCCAACCCCAATCCAACAGCCAATCCAGCGAACCGCTCTCCTTAGCATCATCAACATTCGAGTCCCAGGAACAGGAGACAAGCATCGAGCAACAACGACAACAGGATGAAGAAAGTATAATACCCAATTATGACGGCACAGCAGACCATATCACTCCTCATTATCGTCATCGCCACCGACAGCAAAGTCTTCGACGATCGGTATCAGCCCAAATCCGCCGGGACGCATATCTAGCCGCGCGAGCAGATAGCTTTGAAGCGTGGGCGGCAGTTTCGCTCATATCAACTGGGGATAATCATACCGAAGAAGAGATTGAGCTCTGATTAGGTCAGTCATGCGGTCTACATACATATCATAATGCTTCATGTACTATAAGGAAATAAGAGAAATAAATGCAATTCATATCATGCATGGCTCATCACGTAAGTCAGGTCAGGTCAGGTTACTATATACAATCCTCCTTCCTTCCCTCCTTCCATCTCATGCATTAATCCTACCTACCCCCTTCAAACAACCCACCTAAAGCCTTTCATAAAATATCGTAAAAAGAAGAGAAAAGAAAAGTCTATACATAAGAAGAAAAGCAAACAACCCAAAACATCCACCCGAAGAGATATCTTTGCTTAATAAACGAAGTAATCCTGTGTCAAGGGCAGACTGCCTGCCGGTTCGGCATCGCAGAGCACACCATCCGCCTCGACACGGTAACTTTCCGGGTCGACGTGCATTTTGGGCATGATGTCGTTGAATTTCATGTCGGCTTTGCCGATGTTGCGGCAGTTTTTGACGGCTTCGACGCGTTTTTGCAGGTTGTAGGATTGGACCACGCCTGCGTCGAGGGAGGCTTGGGAGACGAAGGTGATGGATGTGGAGGGGACGAGGGCCTGAGTATTCTGGTTAGTGGTGAGGGATTAGATTGCGATGGTGGTGATGACTTACGCCGAATTGGGGACGCATGATGACGGGTTGGACGGTGGGAATGGATGCGTTGGGGTCACCCTGGTTTTCATTAGCATGTGCGTTTTTAGGAGTAAATTTATAGGAGGGGGGACGTACCATCACTGACACGGCGATCATGCCGCTCTTCACCACTTGCGTTGGCTTCACACCAAACGCGCTGGGCGTCCACAGGACAAGATCGGCGATCTTGCCGACCTCGATACTGCCGATCATATGGGACATACCCTGCGCGATGGCCGGGTTGATGGTGTACTTGCTGACGTAGCGTTTCACGCGGAAGTTGTCGGCACCGGTGCCTTCATCCTCGGGCAGCGGGCCACGCTGCTCCTTGTTCTTGTGTGCGGTGTTCCACGTCCGCAGGATGACTTCACCGCAACGACCCATAGCCTGGGAGTCGGAGGACATCATGCTAATAGCGCCAAGGTCGTGAAGGACATCTTCAGCCGCAATGGTTTCGGCACGGATACGAGACTCGGCGAAGGCAACGTCCTCGGCAATGTTCTTGGACAGATGGTGGCAGACCATGAGCATGTCCAGATGTTCATCGAGGGTGTTGAGAGTGAAGGGACGAGTTGGGTTGGTACTACTGGGGAGGACATTGGGGTGCTCCACGACCGAGATGATGTCCGGAGCGTGACCACCTCCGGCACCTTCGGTGTGGTAAGTGTGGATAGTGCGGTTCTTGAATGATTCAATGGTTTGCTCAACAAATCCGGATTCGTTCAGAGTGTCGGTATGAATCATGCACTGGACGTCGAACTTGTCGCACAGGTCGAGGCAGCTGTCGATAGCGGCGGGCGTAGAACCCCAATCTTCGTGCAGCTTCAATCCGGCGGCACCAGCGTAGATCTGCTCCTCGATGCTTACGCCACCGCAGTCGTTACCTTTACCGGTGATACCAACGTTGATGGGCAGACGGTCGCAGGCTTGGAGCATCTGGCGCATGTGAACGGGACCAGGCGTGCAAGTTGTGGCATTGGAGCCAGTCGAAGGACCGGTTCCTCCTCCCAAGAACGTTGTGATACCAGAGGCGAGCGCCTCATCCACCTGCTGGGGGCAAATGAAGTGGATATGAGTGTCGAAACCACCAGCTGTGACGATCTTGTTTTCACCTGCAATAACATCGGTTGAGGAGCCGATAGTCATGCCCGGGGTGACACCATCCATGATATCAGGGTTTCCAGCTTTACCAATGCCCACAATGAGCCCATCCTTGATTCCAATATCAGCCTTGAAGATACCAGTCCAGTCGATGATCAGAGCGTTCGTGACAACGGTGTCCAGAGCATGCTCCGTAGACTTTTCCGAAGATTGGCCCATGCCATCTCGAATAGACTTGCCACCGCCGAATGTACACTCGTCTCCATAAGATGTGTAGTCCTTCTCCACACGAACCCAGAGGTTGGTCAGACCCAGACGCACGAGATCACCAGTAGTAGGGCCAAACATGCGCGCATAGGCCTCACGATCCATCGAGAATGGTGTAGGTACCAGCGCGCTATCGGCAGTAGGTTCGGGAACATGGGCGAAGTTCTGCACTTGCAGACGGGCCATGATCTCCTCAGCACGAGCAAGATCGACCTTGCCGGACGCGATGCAGTTACCTCCACGGATAACCTGGTGGCCTCCAATTTCCACGAGCGTAACCACCTTGGTGTCTCCGGGTTCGAATCGTACCGACGTACCAGCGGGAATGTCGAGTCGATATCCATAGGATCGAAGGCGGTCGAAGTGCAGCTGCGGGTTGGTTTCGATGAAGTGATAGTGCGAACCGACCTGGATAGGACGGTCACCCCTGCTCATTACCTTGAGCTTGATTCGCCTCCTTCCCTCGTTTAGGACGATACGTTCGTTCTTCACGGGTATTATGGCTCCGGGCGTCTTCTCGGGTTCGTAGTCATCCGGGTCGGGGTCGGGGAAGGCATCTGCCGGGGGAATGGGGAGGAAACTGCCGTAAAGAGCCTTTTCAAGGTCTCCATCGTCGCTACTGATAGGGTTGTGTACGGTCACGAGATAGGTACCGGTGGTGAATGTTCCTTCTACCTGTAATTCGTACAGGGTAGAAACGACGGAGGGGAGAACGTGCCGGCGACCCAGCATGCTCTTTCCGATAGACATGAGATCGGCTACGGAGTATTGTCCATCGCGGATCAGCTGTAATCGGGGAACAGGAGTTAACAGGGATGATCAAGGTGATTTTCTCGGAGTGGTGGGCTGTTTACCTCCTGCAGGTTGGACGAGATCAACGCCTACCAAAGATCGTCAGTCATGTTTCCAGCAAATCACGATGCGCATGAAATGGAGCTAATATGCAACATACCGCAGCTTCGGCATGGTTGAGACGAATACCGCGAGCCAGTCGACGCTGAGCCAGGAAGCCCAGCTGAGAGATAACGAGCTTGTCAAGCTGGAGAGAAGAGCAGAAAGTCAGTCACTCCACCTAATTCGAGTAGTTTAGTGCGGCAAATGTCGCAGCATACCTCCTTGGGACTCAAATGCATGCTGGGCTGGCAGTGAAAATGCCCTTGACTTCGAAATCACAGACGTCCTCGCGGGACCAAGAATGAAGCAGCGGACCCAACCTCCGACGCAAGGCGGGTTTTCTGGGGGTGGAAGAGGTGGGCGGGCAACAATATGAGATGTCAGATAGCGAACGCGGACTTTGTTGTTATTTTGGAGAAGTTGACAGGCCAGAATGGACCAGGGACGCAGGCTCGGGAGAGGAATTTAAACGCCACGGCCGGGGGAGAAAAGGCGCGCCGGATCGGGAGGTAAAAGTGGAAAAGGTGGGGATATCTAGACATTCCATCTTTGGCATCCTCATACTTTCGCGAAACGAGCGAAGCCATTGCCCGATAAGCGGTCGGCAGCTGCTGATAAGCATGACATCGACCTATGGCAGCCCGGCTTGGACCAGGTGACTAACGGCTTGCAGTCAATCGGGAAACTTCGCTTGGAGTTTTGGAACTGAACATCGGCACTCGCCGGCCACTGCAGCCTCCACTTCTTTCCCCTTTCAGTCTAGTCGCTATCAGTTCGCTTCAGCCCAATATGTACCCCGGGGAATGATACCACCACCGTAACATCTATTTGAGCTAGTATCTACATTCTACATGCTGCTACTGGACTAGTCAATGTATAAGCTGTCATTTAGGTTGAAAACAAGCTTTTTCTTTTTCCTTTTTATTCCTTTTTTTTGTCTTCCATTCAAATTGAACTACCAATGACCCAGCCCCAACTGCATAACACCCCGCAAAGCGCAAAACAGTCAAGACGCCAACAGGCCCTAGGAACGTAAAAAAGATAACACAGCAACCCCAATAGCAATGGCTCCCAACAAATCAATCCGCAATATGCTACACACACAAAGAGTAGTCATATAAAGGGACAAAATTTACATCATGTAGCAACTACCAGTGGCAGTAGACAGGCGCCCAATTCCAATTTGAACACCATACCTTCTCCAGATCAAGACCACCAATCGCCTCATACTGGTCATACTTACTCCTCAGCACCGGCCTCGCTCTTGCGCTTCTTCTTGGTGGCGCGCTTGTTCTCGCCACCTGCAGCCTTGCGAGCAGGGGTCTCTTCCTGCTCCTTCTCCTTGCGAGCAGCAGCGCCACGCTTCTTCTTCTCGGGAGACTCCTTCTTCTTCTCGCTGGGGGTCGGTGCCTCCTTGGCAGCAGGCTTGCCCTCGCTGCGACGACGCTTGGTGCTGCGCGGGGGAGTGGGCTCCTTGACCGGCTCGGGAGAAGACTCCTCCTCGGACTCTTCCTCGGATTCCTGCTCCTCATCTTCAGACGCCTCGGTGGCCTCGGCGCCCTCAATACCCTGGTGCAGCTGGCTGGCAGCCTTGGCATCGTCCGAGTAAGGGAGGCCAGCCTTGTAGGCCTTCACCTTCTCCTTGTAGATGGCAAGGTTGTCCGCATACAGCTTCTTCCAGACCTGTGCGCGAATTAGCAACGGTGCTTTTCGTGATCAAAAGTGCAAGTCGACATACCTCCTTCTGGGGTTCAGGCATCTCAGCCCAACGGCGAGTACCCTCGTCAGAAACCTCCTTGGGCTTGGCATTGGGACCCAGCTCCTCAGCAATACGGGAGCGGTTGTGCTGCATGTAAAGGAAGAAGGGAGTCAAGGCGCGCTTGGGAGCGTTGGGGTCCGGGGGAGCACGCTTGCGCTTCTTCTTCTCGCCCACTTCGGACTTGGCGCCAGGGCTGGTAGCGCGCGCACCAAGCAGACCAGACTCATACAGGGAGCTGGTGATGCCGGTGATGCTACTGATGTCCAGAGCAGTGGGGGTGCGACCCAGGACAGTGTCGGCATGGTTGAGGTAGGCCTTGGTCAGCTCAGAGACCGCGGCCGACAGTTGCACTAGGCTGGAGACAACCTGCGAATGAATTAGTGGGGCTTGTTGGGGAGCAGCATGGGCGACGGTGCGGATGCCGGAAGTGATGGTATGGATGGCAACGGTAGCACGGGAAATGGGCGCCACCAGCGCCGGGGCAGGCGCTGCTGATGGCGCCCGCTCTGGAGATGAGCGTCCGCGCCGGGCCATGGGGAGTGGGAAAGGCGTGGCGCGAAACCAAGGAAACGCGCGGTGCGATTACAGAAGCGAATAAGAGGGCAAACAAAGGGAAATCAAAGCTGAAAAGCCAGCTGCAAAGGAAATAAAGCCAGAGGATTCAAATGCGAACACCCAAGGAATGGTACAAAGCTGGGTTGAGAGGGGAAATGAAAGCCAAAGGCGTCGCGCAGAGCCCGTCGGGGCGGCCTTTTGTTTACGGACGCGTGGTGGTGAATTTTGGGGGGTGCGAGGCCAGCGCAGCGCCCGTCCACCGTAGCTTAAGGGAAGCAGTCGGCAGGCCGCGCGCGCGCCGGAGGGCAAAACGACGGAAAGAAAAGATACATCAGAAAACCAAAATTAACTTACACTGTCGCGAGTGCGGGTAAAATCTTCAACGTTAACGGTGACAGTGTCATCCCTAGCCTTGGAATCTTCGCGGCGAGACATGATGGAATGAGCAGACGGCGGGGGGCGGGCAACCACACCGAAACGATTAATGGATGAGATATGGGGGGGGGCGGCGAACACAAGTAATGTTAAGGAAGAAGGGAAAGAGAGGGAAGGGCGATGACGGGAAGAAAAGAAGATTTTTCGCTCGCTAGCGGGGTCCAGTTTAGCGGGACGAGGCCTCCTAAATACTGCCCCGTTCGCCGCTGGCCTCCCCTCGCTGTTTTGGGCTTAGGGAACTCTTCTTCTCTTTCTTCGGGCTGATCGTCCCTCCCTAATCATAGTGGCCTTTAGGGGGTCTGCCTTCCCTAAACCTGGGCTACTGTCCTCCCCCCCTCCCGGTGTCTCTAGAAGGCCTTTCCCGCTAATTCTCTCAAGGAGGAGGGGCCTTCCTGGTCTTTCCACTCTTTTGCTGCTGCTGCTGCTGCTGCTGCAGGGCCCCCCTTGGCACCCGGGCCTAACCTGTTAACCTGAGCAACCCCTCCTCCCACAAACCATCGCCCTGAAACTCGCTGAAACCCACTACTGTACTGTAGCCCGCCACCACCTGCCCATCTTCCCCCGAACCCTTCCGGCACAGCAAGCAAACAATCCCATCCCCCTCTCTCAGAACCTATGTACCCAACCTTGACAATCCCATTGAAGAATCACCGATTCCAACAACATAGAATTCAAAGATAGGTTAAAAATAACTGCGCATTTGTCGCATAAACTCACACTACTCACAAAACTCATCAACAACCATCCCAACACATATATATATCCAATCGCAACCCTGAAAATGTAGATGACAGTACTTACTCCTCATGCTGGTCAGCCACCCCACACCCGGCGCATCCGCGTAGCTGCGCACCTACACAGTAGTAGTAGTAGATGGTCCATCCCACGCAACCACCCCCAAACCCTGGCAAGTTACTTAGCAGCAACAAACGAGTCTACTGCTGTGGCTACCCCGCGCGCGCTGCCGCACCAGCACTCTTCAATCTTCTTTTCCCCCGAGCAACGGGAAGAAATTTTGCATCTTTCTGCAGCCTGCTGCTGCTGTTTATCTACCATGATGACACGCGGGCGCGCATCTTATGATACATCATATTATCATCATGTGGGGTTTATTTTTGTGTGTTCAGATATTAAAATATTAATCTTCAATCTGATGTACTTTTTGATCTGATTGTTTCAGTCAATTCATTTCAATTCTAGTAGATACTATCTCAGTTTGTAGTTGATCTCATTGTTGGGGGGTTTATGGAAATATATTTCAGTTACTACTAGTAGTACGGCATGAATACTGAAGTTAGTTGATTGTGATGGCGCGACAACTCTTTGATCAAACAATATGTAAATCGTACTATCTGTAACTACAACCGCAATACTATATGCCAGAGATATATATCACTATCGAGATCCCGAGAAATTATTATAATCATATCATTGTAGCTAGTACTATTGATCATACAGGTGTGAAGGAAAAGGTTTCTTAAACATAGTAATCTCGTCAATGGCATTGCTCAGGTAAAGATGAAATAAGTAGTAATGTGTAACTGATCAATATTGTGCAGCGATTGATTCAGCACACAATGGTTTTATCATCCATTTGGTGTTTTGCTGGATTTCTTTCTTTGTTCTTGCGGGGCAGGGTCTTGTTTACTTTTCTGCGTAAGCGCATGGGACGCCTTGGTGCTTGTGCTTGTGCTTAGTAGGTCCCCTGCTTATCGTGGTAGTGAGGGGCTGCTTACTCCCCCGGAGATACCTCTCGCGCGCTATTTGACCGACCAGGCGTGGCATCTATGTCTTGTAGAACACTGTTTGAATTTTTGTGTTTATCGCAAGTAGGTATACATTCTACACGCTCAAATCGTTCTATAATGACATGGCATGTTCTTTCTTTCCTATCAATGAATTTATCTCTCCTCATGTACACCCCGTCTAGAACTTGAAGACCTGCTCCTTAGAGTAGCCCAGCTCCTTCAGGATACCGGACAGCTCGCCCTGGTCAGTAGGGCTGTTCTTGGTGCCACTGATGGCCTTGTACATGCCGGGGGGACCGCAGACAAAGATCTTGATGTTCTCCTCCTTGGGCTCGGGGAGGACGGTCTTCAGGAGCTCCTTGTTGATGTAGCCCTTGCCGCCGGTCCACTCCTTGGGAGGGTTGTCCAGGACGTAGAAGGCACGGAAGCGGCGGGGGTAGGTGTTCTCGAGCTCCTCGAATTCCTTCTTCAGGAGGATGTCCTCCTCCTTGACGTTACCGAAGACCAGGGTGACCTTGGTCTGATCCTCGGGGTTCTTGAAGATCTCACGGGCAAGCTGGTACATGGGGGTGATACCGGTACCACCAGCAATCAGGCAGATGTGGTTGTGCTTGTTGGTCTCCCAGGGGTACTTGACGATGGGGCCCTTGAAGTCCAGGCGCTGGCCGACGTTCATGCTGTGCAGGTGCTCGGACATGGGTCCGTTGGGGTAAACCTTGACGACAAGGTCGATGTAGCCGGGTGTTTCTGCGCCGAGTCAGTGAATGTCAAAAAGTGTTCGAGGCTGAATTGTGAGAGCATACCCTCATCGCTGGTGGGGGTGTAAGGGCGGATGACAGCCTTGGCGTCGGCGGGCTTGAACTTGGTCAGGAGGGCAGCTGCGCGTTCATGAGTAAGGAGTCCGGGTGGTTGTTTCAGAGCAAGGCAACATACAGGCAACCTGGAGGCCGGAGACAGCTTCCTTGTCCTCGAACTCGAAGCGCAGGCGCTTGGTGTTGTGGTTCAGGACCTCGATCTCGGACAGCTTCAGGTCAAACCATCCTTGGTCACCACCCTTGAAGACCTTGGGGCGGTCGACAACAGCGGGGGCCTCAGCGGTGGCCGAGTTGTAGCGGTAGAGACCGACAGCGACACCGGTGATACCAACGGCGGCGTAGATGGGGGCCAGGGAAGACTTGCCCTTGGGCGCTTCCGTGGAGTACTTGCGGAAGCCCTGTGGTAAGCCGGAATTAGCACAAAATTCGGTCGTCGGTAGAGATCGGGAAGGGCGAAAAGGGTAGGAAAATAACAGCGCTCAGGTGAAGAGGGATGAAGCATACCTGCTTGAGGGGCTGAGCGCAGCGGAAAGCTTGACGAGCGAACATTTTGAATGAATGACAGACACCAATGCGTGCTCAATGGGTGGTGAGAGGAAGAGGGAAGGTCAAGGGAGCAAGAGCGGAGGGAAGAGGACCTTCGGCAAAGGTAATTACTAGTCTCAAGCTCCTCCCTCTCGGACTCCGAGACGCCGTTTCCGCACATGACGCAATGGGGCCGCTCGCGTGCCTGGCGTTTTACTAATTACGAACTGACATTTGATATACATCTCCATCTTTATGTAACTCTCGTCGATGGTTTTTAAGAACGAAAATGCTCTATACTGGGGTTATATATCTGGCCTTGTGAACCGCACACTATTATAAAAGTCTCCTGAAATGACCCCAGACAGCCCGATGGCCGCCTGTCTTACTGGCCTCCCTTACAGAACATATACTACCTGCAATATGGCCGAGCGCCAGCGGATAAATTCATACCTGGAATCGAACCCAGTTTCTGTAGATACTTGACAGAATCCCTGCTTAGCTGTCTTTATTTCAGAAACGACAGTTTAGAACGCAAAAATAATTCCTGTACTGTATGTACGCCATATGCCTAGCAGGATCTGTTGTCCACAAGCCGTCGTTCTACAGGCCAGATTGTCAAGGGTTTCTTGTGGAATGACTTGGCCCTGATCAAATGAATAGACTGGACACAAGTAGTGTCACAAATACCTGGAGGAGAACGAAGTCATTGAGGCAAGAAGCCATGATGTCAAGCGTGTTATATGTTTTCCCACTGCCACCCTCGACATCCGACGGATATACATGGCTAAACCCGAGCCAGCCAGAAACGCCACCGCGACTAGGCTCTGTCAACGTCCCACAAATATACCCATAATATTGGGACAAAAAAATAACGTTCCGCATGCTAGCCTATATTTGCAGGTATTAGATAAACCCAACTGGCAAACAATCTGGGAAGCATGAATAGATGATTGTTGCATACATATATCGAAAACCCCCAAATTGTGGGTTCCGGATGTAGATTATGGTAAGAATTTCGATCCTCGTGGAATAGTAGGACCAGCACTACGCAAAGCGTTCTACGATGTCTACAGTACGCTATGCCCCGTCCAAGAATAAACAGAAACAATACCCCGGTATTTTTTGATATAACTTGAAAGGGTCGCTGCAGAGGACTTAAAGAGACATAAAAACCATCCGTCCCATTACCTGGGTTGAGGAAACACGCCCTGTCCGCGTGCTCCGTGTCCTTCGTGCATGCTATGGCCATAACATAGTCATTCATCCACACACTCCGATCACCCAAACCCAAAACGTCACATTTACGCGAAAGTAGAGGGACGAGAGTAAGCGAACACCTTCTTGCTGTTGGCAGCACGGTGGGGCAGGGGGAACTTGAGGTTCTTGGAGAGGAGCTGCTTGATGTAGGGGCGGCGGATGCTGTCGGCGTTCTCGATCTCAACAACCTTGAGGATCTGTAGGAACGTAGTTAGATCGCAATGTTCCTGGGTCAAAGAGGATAGGAATCTCAACGTACGTGGATGGAGCCGAAGCGGGCACGGTGACGGGCAGCCATGTCCTGGTAGAGAGCCTCAACAGCCTCGGTGCGGCTCATCTCACGGAACTCCTTGTACATGTTGTGGGTGCCGGAGCGGGAGTCGTAGCGGAGCCAGATACCGAAGTTCTTGACCTTGGTAGGGCGCTTCTCGCTGATCTATCGAGGGAAAAAAAGACAGGTGTCAGCCAACACTGCCAACTTGTCGCTTCATGACGGCCACACATACCACATTGATGCTGACGATCTCACCGTTGGCCTTCTTGACCTTGCGGAGCTGGGTCAGGAAGTACCAGAACCGGGACTTAGCGACAACAGTGTTGGGCGCGAAGATGCGCATGCGGTACAGCTTGGGCGTGGGGTTAGCCTCGGTGGGCAGGTGACGCCCAATGACCTGGTACTCGGTGAGACGCCCTATGGATCCCAGTCAGCCATGTCCTCCCATCCGATGAGAACTGCCTCGTGCAATGGTTTCAGTCGTTGCGTATATTCCGTGCGAAACGTTGTTGACAGTTGTGCGAGTTGCCGATACTTCTGCGATTATTTCATGTGTGCGCCACGATATCGAAAATTTCGTCCTCCCATATCAGTCGTCCAAAGTTGAAGATTCCACCCATCATTCTTGCTTCCGATCGATTCCAATCCAATTTCAATCAAGATTTTATGACCCGATGTCGCCGAGATAGAATGATGCCGTAAAAAAGTCGTTCAACGATCGCAGGGGGAACATCGCAATAGCCGATCCACCATTGGGAGACAATATTGGAATTCTGGAAAATTTCACTCACCCATCTGGTAAATTCAGTCAGTAACAATTTCAATATGTCGATGAGCAGATCAAAAAGGTAGGGCTTACTTTGATTGTTGACGCTGTAGTGGTTAGTCGACGAGAGGTGTGCCGGCTGCTGGACTCGTCGCGGAAAGGAGGATTTTTGGAACAGTTGATTGTGAGCTAGGTTTAGCCCTGCTTAGGGCTAAGCGACCGTGTGGCTTGGTAGCCCACCTTGCCTGTTTTGGAACACTAGCCACAGCCAAGGTGGCAGCAGTGATTAGATAAGACGGATTCCCTGAGCGGCGCCGCAGTTTCCCCACCTTCCTCCGATCGCGTCCGCGGCTGGCTTCATGGACCTGGAACTCCTTCTGTCAGTGACGCCGATTGTTGGTCTCCGTGGCTCGGACGTACGATCGCCGTGAATGCATGTCCGCTGTTGAACCCTTCCCCTCCTTCCCCGCGACCCATCTCTACATCCTTGCAGTCATCAACCATGTCCAACATCTTCGATGATTTCAAGGAAGGCCAGAAGATCGGCTCTGGTGCCCGCCTGGCGGCATCTCTCTCCCCAGTCGCGACTGCGGAGTACCCCGACCGTCTGAAGTCATTCTACTACTTTTCTAACGCCGTACATGTTTCCGCCGACCTCCGATACTCGCTCTTTCAAGCAAATGGCCTGAAGCTTCCCAAGCAAGAACAGAACTCGTGGGTCGACATCTTTACCGCTTATTGGAAAGCCGTGGGGGAGATTGTTCGATTCGACGACTCCCCCAGACATGCTAGCTGGGTGAAAGTATTTGATGCGTGGAAGGATACGGCAAATCAATTGATTAGGGGCTACTCAACAGGCAGTCTGCAAGCCTGGACGGTGCCATGCTTGTACTCTGTCGGAAGATATTTGCGGGCCTTCGCCATGAAGGCCGATGCTGAGCTTTCTGCCCAAGACTCCGTCACTTTCGACGATCGCTTTCAAGATGATGCGACGGATGCCAAGAATCCAAAGCTGGAGGAAGCTACACGGGTGCTTAACAGGATGTTTACTTTGTGTCTAAGTGACCGGTAAGCTACATTCGGAAGTGTTGTGGATATATCATGCTAAGGTTGTTTAGGGCACCAATCGAGGAATCGCGAAAATGGGGCATCTACGACACTACAAACCTGCTGTTCAAGACATACTTCAAACTCAACACCGTTGGCCTTTCTAAGAACTTGCTGCGTGCCCTCAATGCCTCGTCTGCCGACCTTCCCAGCTTGGACGCCTTTCCCAAGTCTCACATCGTCACCTTTGAGTACTACGTCGGTGTCATACACTTTCTGGATGAGAATTATGCGGAAGTATGTGCTTCAGTCACCTATTTTAGGTTCTGTTGCTAATAACTGGGTTTATTAGGCTGAAGAGCATCTGTCGTACGCATGGAGGATGTGCAACAAATCTGCGACGAAGAATAGAGAGTCAGTACTGTACATGTCGTCTTCGTGCTATATTGCTGACTACTTCCAGGTTGATTCTCACCTACCTCGTTCCCTGCCATCTTGTCACCACACACACTTTGCCCAGCAAAAAGCTTCTTGCACCGTTCCCTCGTGTAGAGAAGCTCTTCCGTCCATTGTGCGACTGTATCAAAAAGGGAGACCTGCGCGGGTTTGATGCCGCGATGACAGCTGGAGAGGAAGAATTCGTCAAGAGGCGCATATACTTACCCCTGGAAAGGGGACGCGATATCGCTCTACGGAACCTCTTCCGCAAGGTCTTCATCGCCGGTGGATTCGACGAACCCAAGGAAGGACAGCCTCCTATTCGTCGCACACGGGTTCCCGTTGCCGAGTTCGCAGCGGCGTTAAGGATCGGTACTCATGCTGACGATCGGTCCCGCGTAGACATTGATGAGGTTGAATGTCTGCTGTCAAACCTTATCTACAAGGTGCGCATTGAGATGCCCGTACGCCATCGAAACATTGAGCTGACAAGAGTTATAGGGACTAATGAAAGGATACATTGCCCGTGAACGCGGCATGGTTGTATTGAGCAAAGGTGGCACCGCATTCCCTGGAACGGGGGTTTAGCTCTGCTATCATCCGTCATCGCATCTTCGATGACGGCCTATCACACTTATCGAACAATATCAGGTCACCAGTATACCATCGCCCGAAAGGCATTACCCGAGAGCCTTCAAGAATACGGCTTTGGCAGGGACGTCTGCATCGCTTGCCAATTACATGCGCTACAACAGGCCTTTGAGCAGCTCCCATGCAGCATGTATATCATAGATGACCGCTTACAGGACCCATACCTCCAACAGCGCTGGTACATGAATGGACGGTATGCCCCGCAGTTACGCAAGTCGTACAGTTAGTGCTGGTGACATGCCTCAACTGCCTGGCTCAAGCTGAAAACGCTGTAATCTATACCATGATAGACCAGTTATAAATACAACATGACCTCATGACAGATACAATCTCGCATTTCTGTATAAATCCCCATAACAGACACATTACTATACAAACATCGCATCAAGCAATACATAGCATACACTAACCATCCATCCCAACACAACCATGCCATCCCCTCCCAATACATTATACCTAATAGAACAATCCGCCCAAACCAGCCGGGCTGCATATATCACTAACACGTCCCTTCACCCCTCGCCGCTTCCTCAAGATCATCCTACAGTCGATCACCATAAATTAGCCACTCTCCGCACATCCTCCATTTCAAGAAAGGGCGGACTTAAAACTCACCATATGATTACACATCGCCACAAACAAATCAAAAAACAACTTCCCCCCACGTTCCATCTCCATCTGCATCGTCCCACTCCGCTTAAACGTTCCCCGACTGCGTATAATCAGCGCCAGATAATGCGCCCGCAGCTTACTCTCCGTATCCGGCGTGTGCATGTACGCATACCGCGCACTACTCAGGATTATGTGGCAGGGGATGTTGGAGTGGAGGCCTTGCTTTTTCAACGAGAGGCGTTTGAGATGCTCGAGGGAGTATTTCTCGGCTGCGCAGCTATATAGTACATGACTGTGTTAGTATGGGATGGAGTTTTTTATTGTCTATTTGTTTGGAGAGGAAAGGGGTTGACATGACATACTATACTGCGGTGTCGCGGAGGATTTCTGCTCCTACGGCTGGGTGGAAGATGATGGCGCTGGGGTCGGTGGTGTCTTTGGTATTAGTGGTAGTATGATTTCTGGTATTAGGAGTAGAGGATGAGGAGGAGGGGGTTGTTTCCAAGTCCCATGTGTTGGTGGATTTGTCGTGGCGGAGACGGGGGTAGTAGTCGCCGCGGTAGAGGTATTCGAGGACGCAGGAGAAGATTTCGGGTTGTTCGTCGGGGAGGTCGATTGGTTTCATGGATTTGGTAGGGCTGGGTGAGGAGGAAGGGGAAGAAGAGGGGGAGGAAGAAGAGGAGCTGTCATTGCTGGGAGGATTGCAGAGGGCTGCGAAGTAGGGCGAGACGCAGAGGATGTCTTTGTGTGCGGCGAAGAGGCGTTTGGTTGGGCCGATGGTGAGAGTTATTACGCCGTGGGAGAGGGAGGAGTTGCTATTTGGTGGAATTGGGGTCTTATGGTTAGTGGGTGGTTTTGATTTTTACTGAGATAGGATAGGGAGAGAGAGGGGTGTAAGAACCTTCCATCTGGGGGTGTGTCGGGGGTGTGTCTGCTGCGATGCAGACGACGTGATGCGACGACTGATTGTTCGCGAGATCGCGGTTTGGCCTTGCCGGCTCGGTATCTGGAGGAGAAGCTATCTGGGTGGTGGGAATGTAGGCGTTTTGTGGAGAGGATTCTGGGGCTAGGGCGATGGAGGCCCTGCTGCTGCTGTGGTTGTTGCTGTTGGGAGAGCATTGTGAGGGAAGGGATTCGGGGGGAGATGGGATGGAATAGTAGCTGGGGAGAAAGAAATTGACCCTGGAGATGGAAATCAGGGGGTCCTTGCGATTATAAAACTAGTAGTAGTAGTACTGTAGGATACTAGGTGGTAGAAAGAGATGGTAAGAACTGGACAGATACATGTATGTTTGACCTCTCCTATTTGGAGTGCCTTCTTTGTCTCTGGAAAGGGGTTGCTGAACCACAAGCACAGGCCATCCTTTACTCCTCGCAGAGGAAAGGGAACGAGGGAAAGTCCCTAGCCATTTTATCTCCAGATCCTGGTCGAATTTGACGCATTATAGATCAACTCGACCAGGATGCATGTTCCTCTCTGTGCAGGAGGGGACACGGAGAGGGGAAGAGCAGCGAACGCGTAACGGCAGGTACTGCTAGTAATGGACGCGTAAAGTGGTTTTTTGTGCATCGCCAAATGATCGCGCAGTCACGGGAGAGCCATTGGCCAATGATGGCTTCAAGGGGGGGGATTGGGAGGTGGGGACTTGGAGACGCCAGAGCGAATCAGCCCGGCATTCTTCGTTCCGTCCACACCCGCGATCGGCGCAGAGACTCGATGCATCCAAGTTTGTGGATAGCTATGGTTTGTATGGCCAGCGGGGACAGGGTTCTTCCTGGTCATTACTACTCGTTGACTAAACGCAAAAGCATGGCTCGTCGTGTCCAGTTGGTGCGGATGGGCGGAATCCACCATCCGTGACTCACGGGTCCATCTAGGAATTATTTGTCTGTCATACCGTCGTACCGGTTGCATCAACAGCCGCTCCTTGAGAATACACACGATACCGTAAGACAGTTAAATTTCGCATGCAGGGACCCGCTTGCATCTCCTGAAGACAGCCTTTCACTGTGAGATTGTTAGTCTTGTCCTTTCTAAGCTGGAAGGCGTTTAACCTTCGAAGTTGATAGCTCAGATTCCTACCCCGCCGACACACTGGGCGATAAAACGCTGATAATATTATATCCTTTCAAGCATAGTAACGAAACGTTGCGTTATGTACAACCATGTACAACCCAGGTCCTGAGCCTGCCCAACCCATGTACGCCCATACCATAACGCCTGCTTGCAAATTGTGTAACCGACGCCCATTGCGGTGTGGAGATGTGCCTGCACTTATGTCCGCTATATCTGCTGAACTGACCCTGTCGGTCCAACTAGAGGAATACCTTTCTCGCCTCCCGAGGGTGACTCTCACTCGGGCAGTAAGGGCACTTGAACCGGCTACCCTTGCACAACCGTTTGAGTGACTCCTCCGCGATAACATGCCCACAGGGCATCATCATGGGGGGATTCTCATCCGTAGTTTGCTCCTTTGACACGGGACATACAAAGATAGAATGGAAGAGATACGACGGGGGTAGCGGGATCTCGACCTATATGGCGCACCAGTCAGCTCACGAACCGTCAGGCATGTCCGCATCGACTTGACTTACCGGGAGCTCGTTCTCCGTGGTCCACTCGGTTCGTTTGGCTTTCATGATAGTCTGTAACTTCAACAGCGTCGGCAGCGCAATGGCACCAGCAGTAGCAGCAACATATAGGGGCGAATCTGCCGACAATCCGAGTAGCGAGCAAAACTCTCGCGTGAATGAGTGTGCCACATCGGACCATGCCGACGGGTTGTTGAAGATATGGTTGTACGGGGAGTCTCGCAGATTGGGGCAAAAGGCCATTGCACCCATGAGCTGCTGGACCTCGCGTAGATACCTGGGCAAGAATGTGTGGAATTCACGCCTGCCATATTCCAAAGCTGCCTGCCGCCCACCCGGACTGGGACCTTGCTGATGTTGTCCGCCGTAGAAAAGCCAGACGAATTGCAGCCTGCACAATTCAAACTCAAGGTTACTACCCCTCGCCTCCAAAGCCTCCTTGTTCTCCCTGGACCACTGTATTGCCGGCAGCAGGTTATTGTTTTCCTTCAGCTCATGAAGAATATGGTACATAGTGTGGAACTGTTGCCGTACTTCGCCCGGCGGAACTTCGTCGAGATCTAAGAGCGAGGCCGCATCGTCTATAGCCCCAATATCTCCTTCTTGTTGCTTCTTGATCGCTTTCTTTTGTGCCATTTCGTTCAGGAACTCTGATGCAACGGAAAACTGTCCTTCTCGGAGAAGGTGCATAGCGATAGCTCTGTTGATAAGATGTTCTTGGGAGGAAAGGACATCATGTTCGGTGCTCGGCAAAGGCCGGTCTTTGAATAACTGCGACAGTGAAGTAGTTAACATATGCCATTCACCATAGGAGCCGGACGCGTGCTACCTTATCTAACGACTTGGAGTATTTGTTGAGACCACTGTGTGTTTCCTTAAGACTATCATTGATGGAATCGAAAGACGATTTGACGGGATTCTGGAGCTTAGCCAGTGTAATGGATGCTTGACTGGGATCTGGGATTGTCCGCGTGATCAGTATAGTTCCAGGGTCAGACCCGCGCAACGTCCGACGAGGCACACGCACCTGCAGCAATTGCATCTCGTGCCGACTGAAGCAAATCTATGGTGGACTGCACATTCTTGATACCTTGACCGGCCTTGATCTTCTTGGAAAGCCGGTCGTGCTCTTTCTGCACCAGCTCCATGACGGGGCAGACGGGAAAGCGGTGTCCGACAGTTACCGCACCTTCACTAGGCAATCGTTGCAGCCATATGTAGGTGATTCTGATGGTTGTGCTGCTCACCGCAAGATCTGAAATAAGAATGTGAAGCTCGACAACGAAATTGTGAGGGAAATACTCGAATAGAATAGAGTCGCCTTCTTCTCCAGGTCATCGGAGCATATGGGCAGGTGAGGAGGAGAACGGAGCGGCAACCAGCCCAATTACGACATGAACCATCACGTGCAACTATCGGGGTGCCCCGCCCGCAGCCCGTTTGCAGTCAACTTTGCCCAATGACATGATCTAGATCACTCCAATGCAATCTATAACTGATTGCTGTCTACTTAACAAAGGTCATTCGTGAATCCTAGTATCCCTCTTAAGACGCTAAGCTTCTGGCTGTCACTGAACTTCAACAATGATTTGAATAATGGACTCGCAATGAGTGCGGCCTCGGATTGCCAGTCACACTCTGGAATTGCTTTTCCCCTCACTAATGCAGTGAGATGCCGCCTTACGTTGCCAGCTCACAAGTAGCTAACCAACCAACGAGTCAAGAAGGAAACCAGAGTCACTGAGCAAGTAGGTATCCGTGCCTTACCCGAACAGCCTGTATGAATGCCTCTGCTCCACTTGTCAGAGACCATGCTGGAATCATACTGGACGCTTCCCACTCACTCAGTCTTTCAGGCCCTCTTTGTCCTGCGGCATCGGGTATTCGAAGCACACGCTCGCTAACCATGCTGGTCCGCTTCGTTTTTAGAGCCCTAGCGGGTACCTGTCGACTGGATTGCCAAGATCCATGGGAATAGGATCTCCGTGTCTTCGAATCAGAATTTACTACCAACTGCGAATTGGGTGTGAGGCATTTAGAAGGGATCACAACAAAGGTGCCATTCTATACGCCTTATCTGTCAAGATGACGTCTCTCCTCTGAGGCCCTTGGTCTTGGATGAACTTGCGGATGTATAGCGAGAACGAGTGATAAGCCTAGGAAAGTCTCACTTTTTGTCGCGGTAAAGTAGCTCTACCCGCGCCGAAGGATCCCTATCCACGACTGTTGTATGAACTGGATGTCCACCACAGCATAGCACTCACTGTGTGTACGAATGCCTTGGTGCAGCAAAATGTACGGCTCGGTCAAAGATGCCAACTCAAAGCGCAATCACTTTATCGTAGTTATCAAGCCATCCAACCAAGCTCGTTGTGTTCGGGAATATGACTGGGTCCGGTAGTAGTAGTTCCAAGGTGACAGTAGTGGGTTTCCCGTATGGCAGAACATGGCTTAGACATCGACGGACTGCACCCGACTCGCTCAGGAACCCACATACACCACTTTTGACTCTATCAGCGGATATTGCCAGAATTACCAGACTTAGAAATATGGATTACTCCTTTAAGTGTGTGACAGGGTGTCGGTAACTCCCTGGTGAAGCAGAATAGTCACTGTAGGATCATACAGGCAGCTTCTGACCAATCACAGCCAAACATGGAACCTCGCTTACGCTAGCTCACCCGGTGGGTCCCCGCCGCGGCACTATATAAGCTCAGCGCACCCGCCCTTCTTTTGGACTTTTTCTTTCTTTCTTTCTCCATCCTGGTGCACGGGTTTTACACGTGTCAGTGAGGAGACATCCGAGACCGTGTTTTTGCTAGTTGAAAACTACCTAGTTTGACCGCTCTCCTTGGTCTTCGGATCGGGGAGGAATTTTTGAAAAAAAAGATGCCATGTCTCCAAAATTTGGAGACGGTTTAAGAGTACGTAGACAGCGCTGCTGTTGCCCTTCTGTTAGATCATTTGGGTAGTACTCGAGATTGGTCTTCTTTTCACTGCTGTTGTCTCCCTTGAGGAGGCCTGGAGAGAAGAGAGCCTAATCACCTGTAATAAAATCCTACATCCAGTAGATGATACGCTAGACACCCATGCTACCTGCTACATGTGAATCCAATTGTTCGCTGCACATGCGCGACTCGGGCCGGATCACTGGGTACTTAGGCTGACGGACGCGTCCAGTGTGTGCCTACTCGCCACGGCTTCTCCCATAGGGCTCTTGTGGCAGTGCTGAGGAACGATTGAGTTGTGGCTGAATGCACCTAGGCAGCTGCGTTTCATGCAGAATTGATTGGTCTAGATGTAGAGTAGTGTTCTAGAATGGTAACAGCGCTCTCACGCTTACCCTCAGGGATCGTAAGACTAACCAAATACCGTCGCGTTATTCTGTATCTATCTTAATGGCATTGGGACACCTGCTAGTTTCGGATATACACTGTCTATTCCGTGGGGTCTGTTGGACCAAAGTGGCCCCAAAAAGTCAGGGCGATGATGGCTTAGCCGCTCACCGCTCCAGGTCTGGTGGGAATCCCTTGTGACGTCGCCAACTGAAGTCGCTGCACATGCCGGTAACAACAACCACCTCTCGGCCAGGCTTGTGCTTCTACTTTCTCCTTCAATGATTTGACATGACATGGACAGCCCTTAGCCCGGCTTGTCACATCCGTGCTTGACATTTTAAAGCTCTTAGCTCCTTCAACCTCGGATATGTTACGGTTCTTCTTCACCTCTGTACAATACGATAAGACCCCCGGAGGGTCAACGCTTCTGTCTCTTTCGCCTTTATTTGAGCACGGCCTCCTGATTTCCTCTTCTTCAGCTTTCTTGAACTCACGCCCACTCCCATAGTGGAAACACCATATATACAGCCCTTATGTGCTAAGGAATTGCCCGTCTTAACCATGCCACCTCCCGCAACGCAGACAGGTGGCCAAGCACAGCCTCCTACGTCGGCCCCCCGCGAGTTGGCAAAACACTCCATCAACACGAAAGATGTACCGTCTACGCAGCTCAGTTCTCCTGAGGGACAGTCGCCACAGCATGGCCACCAGAGACTCGTATTCACCGATCCAGTTGCCCTCAGATATCTCGAAGAGGATAAATCAGCAGTTGTGCTAGGTCGACGATTGACTTTGGAAGGATATGAGACTTTCATTGTTGAACAATGGGCCTGCACGCGCATACACCCTACCTTCATAATAACCACCTATACTGGGGATCCTTCGCACAAGGTCGTGGTGGGGGTGCTGAGCGTCCCCACAGACGAGTCTACGTGGTCGCCCCGTATGAAGATGTATTTCGGCGCAGTCACGCAATGCCAAGCGCGGAAAAAGGAAACGCCATTGGGAACACTTATGGTTACCGATCTGAACGTGTTCCCATTGGCACTGACTCTCATTCCGGTACCCGACGGTGATGTTCTAAAACACAAGGATGATTTCATCGTGAATGAAAACCTGAAACGGTTGGGCTGTTCAGGCCGCTCTGGTTTAAAGCTACAGCCACCCTCGCCCGCCACCGAGGGGAAGTTCCATCACCTTTACCGGACGAGCGAGAAGGTGCCTCTATATACTGCCGTCATAGAGCTTGTGAAGCAATGTCAGATCGCCCTGATGATGTTTGGCAATCTTGCCCCAGAGTACGTTGATGGACTGCTGTGCGATGTCACAGAAGCGGCCATAAATGATTGGTGGACCGAGACGGGTATGGATTTATACAACATTGAACCGAGTGATTCTATGTTGGGCCCCATCTCAGTAGCCGCCCTGCTGGGTACTCTCATGGGGGCGCGAAACCGGCTACATGCCTTCGGCGCTCCGGTTGGGAAGGATGCGTTTGATATTGATAACCTAAAGAAAGGCATTGGAAGCTTTCAAAAATCACAGAAGCTGAAACGTACCCGAAGGTTAGATCGACAGACCTTGGATCGCCTGCACCGGGTGACAGCAAAAGCTGCGAATGCAGAAGGCTGGACCGATGCCGTAAAATCAACCATGGCAGAACTAAGCGGACACGGGGGAGAGATGGTTATGGGAATGGTCCGCGGCCGCGAAAAAGGCGGGATAGCTGATATCGAGACCCTCGATATTGACAACTTCGCACACCTGGTCACCGGTGAACGGGCCAAATGGCTGTGGCGGGGAAAGCCGCGGAAGGGCGGAATTGACGACGGTTTTTCTGGCAGTGCGCAGAGTGCAGATATGGTATTCACTACAGACGATCAGGGTGGCCATATTTGGACAAGTCGAAAACGATCTTCGCACGAAGATTTAGTGGCGGACCGCGCTCTGCAAAGCTCAGAACGTCCATCGAGGCCGCCAGAATCAGCATCGTCCTTAGATGAGAAAGACCAGAATCTGGGCCGGTTAGTTCGAAAAGGTGTGAGCGGGAAAGTATCAGATGCGCGGGCGGGGTTTGGCCGGTTCAAGGATGCAGTAGGCCTCCGGTCCCATCCGCAGAAGCATTCGAGGGATGACATAGACCTTGGCGGTGACCCTGCTCATTTGCCTCCCATTGATAGCGACACGGAGGTGTCTCAGTCGAAGAGATCCGATGGTGCTCCAGTCGGATCCGTGGACGTGCAGGACCTTGAAGGCCAGGCCCCGAAGGATGACTTGCAGATTGAGTCTCCTCCAAGGACAATATTACCGCAATCACCCAAATCAAGAGCGCCAGCCATAACCGTAGAAACGGTTCCATCCCAGGCAGATTCAGAGTCGTCGCGTAAGGTGTCAGTACCCAGAGCAGATGACGAAGCGCAGGACCTTGAGCGCTGGAGGACACGCTCCACCGACATTACTGTCGACCCTCGGGAGCAGACGTCTGAAGTTGGTATTATGCTCCTGCGTCGACCGCAAAGCTGTACCGAACTGAATATGGAGAGGGACTCCAGTCGTCTTGATAACTACTGGCCCCGCCATCTGTCCTTCAGCACTGTCGAAGAGGTCGTGCTGGGATGGAATGACTTGGGAGGTGAGGCTTTCAAAGAGAAGCCCGATACCTTTCTGGAAGAGGCCATCATGCAAGAAGACATTCTAGCCTCAGATGCACGAATCTTCAGCTCACGTATCCAAGAGCTTAGTGAGCATACTGTACCTTGGGTTGAACAGCAAGTATCTTCTGTGGATGACCTCAGTCGGTGCTTACACGAGAGTCACGAAAAGGTCAACGCCGCCTACCTGGAACGGCTGTCGACATTTGAACAGATGAGAGCTAAATCGAGCGACCTGTTGACGGAAGAGCACAGCCAGCTCACCGATTACATGAGGAGGGTTGAACTAATGGGCGCGAAGCTGGACTACGAGCTCCATGTTCTAGATTCCCGTGTCGAGGATGTCGAAACCAACCTCGACGAGTTCGAACGGCATGTAAATGCCATCGAAAACAGGGTCAAGCTGCTGATACGGGGCGAGCACGAAAAGCAGGACAGTTCCTGGTTCTCCTGGTTGGGGAGAATTACCGGATGCTCAACACAGTGACTGCGAATTCTCTTTTCCCAGAAAGAAGCCTTGTAGACATATATCATTTCTAATGTACATAATTTCCGAGATAGACTTGCGCAGTTCGCGTTGACCGTGCAATGCCAAAGACCCAGCCTTCGCTAACAGCAAACCCCCATCCCAGAACCAAACAACCCTGTATATCCATGTCCGAGCGGAAGTCATCCATCCCAATTAGCATAAAACCCAGGCCTTCCGCTCCTGTTCAGTCATGCCATAAGAGAGACCAAAGGAAAACAAGCCATCCAGAAGAGCAAGCATGACAGATCTGAAAACCCGAATAGATTATACACGATTTATGAAAGAACAGCAAAAGATCCAATTAGATGAACAATCGTTTCGTTGACCTCGCACTTTACATGCCGAAACCACCCATGCCGCCCTTCTGGTTCGCCTCACCCTGCATCTTCTCGCTGACCTTCATGTTGACTTCGAAGAACTTGCCGACACAGCGGTCAATGCAGACGGACTCGCCCTTGTTGAGGTCGCCTTCGCGGTAGTCGTTGGGAATGCACTTCTTGATGCAGGACTCGGTGAGACTGGTGGTCATGAATGGGTTAGTTCAAGTATATAAGGTGTCGGTAAAACAGGTGTGGTGTTGGGAAGGGGAAGATGAATATAGATTTCAAAGCAATTGGATAGGATGATAGAAGCTTACCGGCTGAACATGTCGGTGACCATCTCAACTTCCGTCTCAGCCGCAGCAATCTTCTGTTCCGAGGAAAGCTTGGGGGCGCCGCCGAAGAGGAAAGACATGATGACGATGTGTAGTGAGGGTGGTGTTGTTTAGCTGAGGTCAGTCAATTAGTAGCTGGTTTCAGTATAACACGGGCAATTCCAGGAGTAAATCGGTCACTCACAAGTGATAACAGAGTTGATCAATGAGTGTTAGAAGGAGTATGATGTGAATGCGCTGAATTGAGCTGCCGGAGCAGACCTGAAGTTGCCGGGATTCGAAGCTGGCCCTGCCGCTGCCGTTCCTCACCGCCTTAGGAATTTTCGCCGGATGTGCAAACGCGTATTTCCCGCACAACTTGACTCTTTCTTTTTCTCTTTTCCTTCCTTTTCTCAATATGTGAGCACGTAGTAGTTCTCTTTTCACTCTCAATGCAACCAATTCGCCCGTTGAGGGCGTCGTCGTTGCGGGTTGGAGGTCTTTTGTCTAGGTAAGCAGTTTTATGTTTTTGCTGTGTTTTCCCCAATGGATCCTCTTTATCCTGCAACTTGCATGATGAGACATACCCTTCCAATTACAGAACCGCTGCATTGAAGCTTGGGGGTTTATCTTCCAAGTTATGAGTAACAGGAAGCTTTATGTCTTCTGATTTATCTTGTCTCTGTTATTATATTGTATGGCTTGTGTCTGTTAGACAGTTTGCTAACGGCATGTTCAGGACAGGACTTCCGATTTCCCGTACATCGCAGGCTTTCCAGACTTCTGGCAGGCTTGCTCGAGTAATACAGCACACTCATGCACCTCTGGTACAGACAAGGCGGAACAGCGTCGATGCGTATCCTGAGAAGGCGTTCAAGAGGCGTGTGCAACTGATCGAAGAGGCTGTTGCTGAGCCGTATCCCCGGCTCGCGTCAAACAAGAACACGGTAAGCTGTGCGGAATTTCGTGGCCGCTACAGCCATCTAGCAGATAATGAAATAGTAGAGGATGATACAGTTGTTATTAATGGTAGGTCCTAGTTTCTAGCCTAGCTGGCTTCTACCATGTCGTCTCGTACTTAAATCAGTAGGTAGGGTACGTACCTTAAGACTTGTTGGAGGCAATTTGATATTCTTCGACTTGCTTCATGATGGCCATAAAATTCAAGTTATGTGCAATCGTCGTCGATTGAAGGATATCCCTCCGGCGACCTTCAAGCAGTTCTACCGGATGCTTCGGCGTGGCGATGCCTTCTGTATGTTTCACCAGCCGTCCTTAGTATCCTGCTTAGACTGAACGATATCCTATAGCCGTAACGGGTAATCCTCACCGGACTGAACGAGGCGAGCTTACGCTCCTGGCGACTGAATTGCCACAGCTGCTGTCCCCCTGTCTGCATGATATTCCGGTTGATGCCCAGGGGCAGGAGAACTCGCCGTATCCCCGACATGTTCAGTTCCTCGCGGACCCGGAGACAGTAAATGTTATCAGAGCTAGATCGGCAGTTGTCCAGTATCTTCGCCAGTTCTTTGTCGACCGGTCTTTTATGGAGGTTAATACGCCTATTATCGAGGCGGTTGCTGGCGGTGCAATTGCTCGTCCATTTCATACTACAGCCACCGAGTTCCCGGATCGTCAATTGTCGCTACGGATTGCGCCAGAACTCTGGCTGAAGAGGTTGGTGGTAGGAGGATTTGACCGGGTCTTTGAGATCGGACCTTCGTTCCGCAATGAAGGTATTAGTTGTCAGTCGAAGTGCTTGAACGAATACTGACAAGCTGCAACAGGCCTCGACAAAACCCACAATCCCGAGTTCACCACTTGCGAGTTCTACCATGCCTACGCCAATCTGGAGGATCTCATGACCACGACCGAGCAGCTACTTTCAGGCCTGGCTGAACACCTTACTGCTTTCCACAAATCGTCCCCCTTCAAAAAGCCTCGCCAGGAAGACACACCTCTACTGTTCTCCCATCTCAACTTCTCTGCGCCCTTCCGCCGACTCGACTTCATCACCTCTATCGAGCAGAGCATCGAGCAGAAACTGCCTGACCTCACGTCTCCCGATGCTCTAGACCAGGTGAAGGCGATCTTCCGTGACCGCAACCACGCACTTCCCGACAAAGTGACCCTCCCCCGACTGCTGGACGAGCTCTGCAGCATCTACGTCGAACCCCAGTGCATCGACCCGACCTTCATCGTCAACCCGCCCGAGTGCTTATCCCCTCTATCCAAGTCCTTCATCCACCCCACTACCAATCAGCGCGTCGCCGCCCGCGGAGAGCTTTTCATCGAGGGCCGCGAAGTCGTGAACACATACGAGGAGGAAAACTCGCCGTTCGAGCAGCGCCGCAAGTTCGAAGATCAGGTCCGGTACAGCAAGCAGGCGGATGAGACGGAAGAGATCGATGAGAGCTACTTGAAGGCGCTGGAATGGGGTCTCCCTCCGACTGGCGGCTGGGGATGTGGAATCGACCGTCTCTGCATGTTGTTTACTGGAATAACGAGAATCGGGGACATTTTGCCTTTTGGCAACTTGCGCAAAGTGACCACCCGTGCTGATGCAGCGGCTGAGGGCCAGGCTGCTGAAGGGAAGGAGATCTAGACAGCGCTCAGTGAATGGGAGACACGATGACGCGTCTTGCGGCGGCACTCTCATTGGTCCGTTGCAGGCGAGTGGATTTTCGCGATTGTTGCAAGATCTCGCCATGAGTGTCGCTCGACGTTCACAGTCTTGCCAGACTGCTGCGCTGCTCGACTGCTGAACTGGAAATTCAAATGGAGTCAGAAAGGCTCCAACTGCAGCTATGCAGCAAGCTGCCTGTACATTACATGAACCTTATGTTATAGTAACCACACAATCCACCTCTCCAATGTACATACCCACAATCCAGATATCACAACTCTTAACTCAATCCAACACACCACTTTACATTCTCTCAATTAATTCCATTCAGCCGGCCGATGCCATCCGATAAGAAGCGCCGATAAGCACAATTGACCGGCGCGGGCCGAGGCCCTCCATCATCCCACCTGCAATCTTTTCCCCTCATTATCTCCTCTTTCCACCCACACTCAACAACAACAACCACAACACCACCACAAACACCAACACCACAATGGCTCTCGACGACATACCCGTAGCGCAAGCCGTCACGGTCACCCTGCAAGACCTAATCGACGGTACGTCCCCCAACCCTACCCAAAACAACCAAAACCACTATCTTCCATCCCACCAAACTAACACCACACACAAAAACAGGAACCATCCCCCCCTCAACCCTAACAGAAGCCTTCGGCCCCTCCTCCCTAGGCATAATCCTGGTCAAGAACCTCCCGCCAACCTTCCCCCACCTACGCGCCCAAGTCCTCTCCAACGCCTCATACCTCGCCTCGCTGCCCCCCTCCACGCTGGACTCCCTCACCTGCGCCTCCGCCAAATACCTCATCGGCTGGTCCCTAGGCAAAGAAACCCTCCGCGACGGACACTACGACACCCACAAGGGCTCGTACTACCTGAACTGCGCGTTCTACAACGACCCGTCCCTGCAAGGCGCGCCGTCCATCGACGCAGAATTCCCCGAATACACCTCCCCCAATATCTGGCCGAGCGAGAAAGATCTCCCCACCTTCCGGAGCAGCTTCGAGCAGCTCTGCACACTGATTATTGATACGGCGGCGTTGGTGGCGCGCGCGTGTGATCGCTTCGCGGTGGAAAGTGTCGATGGGTATAAGGCGGGGTATTTGGAGAAGGTCGTGAGGGGGAGTTTTACCACTAAGGCGAGGTTGTTGCATTATTTTCCTACTGGAGGTTCCTCCTCTTCTTCTTCGGAGGGAGGGCAGAAAGAAGAAAGTGAGGGTGGTGATGATGACGACTGGTGCGCAACCCACCTCGACCACGGCTGTCTAACGGGTCTTACGTCCGCGATGTTCGTCGATGAGGAGGCGCATGATCCCTCCTCCTCCACTATGGAAGATAAATCCTCCCCCTTGCCGGAACTTGCGACTTCGCCGGATCCTAAGGCCGGGTTGTATATCCGCTCCAGGACGGGCCAGGTTGTTAAGGTCAATATACCGAAGGATTGTCTTGCGTTTCAGACGGGTGAGGCGCTGCAGCTTATTACGAGGGGGCAGTTCCGTGCTGTGCCGCATTTCGTGAAGGGGGCTAGAGGGGTTGGGAAGGTGGCGAGGAATACGTTGGCGGTGTTTACGCAGCCGAATTTGGAGGAGGAAGTACAAGATGGGGTTACATTTGGGGATTTTGCTAGGGGCGTGGTGGAGAAGACGTCGAAGTAGGATGCCATGTCATTATTTGATGGGTGTGGGGTGTGTAGTTTGTTTGTATAGCTTCTGGTATCATCTTGAATATAGTACATTCCAGCTCAATCATCATGTCTTACTCGCTTCCGTTCCCTCTCCTTATCAGGCACATAGTCCCCTTCTTCTGTTTCCTCTGTCCCGCCGCGCAGCTGATCCATACGGAGCGTGAAATCTTCCTCCTCCTCTTCCTCTTCTTCTTCTTCTTCTTCTTCCTCCTCCTCCTCATCATCATCCTCATCACCAACAGACAACCGACTCGTCCCCTCCTCCGCCTCACTAACAGAATTACTCAAATCCGCACCCCCCAATCCCGTACTAACAAGCTTACTGAGCTTCCCCACCTTGGCGAAATTCGACCTGGACTTTGTCGACGGCCGTCCCACATCGCCCGGTATCTTGGCCTCCCTGAAATCCGCCGCTTTGGCCACCCCATCCAACACACGAAGATTTGCCCTCCACATCTTCATATCCCTGGCGTCGCTATAATGTCCCACGTCCTCGCCATTCAGCGAGTCAATCGCAAGCGTCTGCGTGCGGAAATCGCCCCAGAACCATTTCTGCCCCTCTGGAATGCGCTCGTCCGCTTGGCGGGAGTACTCACGTCCGCGGAGCACACCGTCCAGATCATATCCGAGGGATAGGGATCCGAACATGAGTTGCAGGGCGTCGGGCTCGTAGAGTCGGCCGAGAATCATGTCCTGGGATACGTCGACCATGGCGCCGGGGTGCATGCGGTACCAGTCGCCGTAGCCGCTCATGCCGACGTAGTGGAAGGCGGAGACGACTTCGTCTGGGTTGAGGGGTTTGATAGGGTGGAGGGTGTTGCTGGTGAGGTAGATGCGGCGGTCGCTGGGGGTGTAGATCTTGCCGCGGATGCGGATGGTGTATTTCTCTGCGAGGTGCTTGGATTTGCGGTCTGAGTCGCAGTTTTTCAGGTCCAGGCGGATCTCTTCGATTACCATTATGTCGGTGACGGTTGGTGAGGGAGTGGGTTGGGGGTCTCTGGGGTTGTAGTTCTGGGGTTTTAGGCGGACGGCGTCGCCGATGGTCAGGAGCTCGGCGCCGATGAAGATCCCCCGGCTGTATATGGATGCGTCGGGCCAGATGCCTTTGAAGTGGTGTTTGTCTAGGAGGCTGAAGGAGGACATGATGGTCATAGCGTATTCGATGGAGGGGTGGAGGTTCTCGCGAGGGATGTTTTGGAGGAAGTGTTCGTAGGCGTTGAAAGGTTTGATGGATTTTAGGTAGACGTATTTGTAGTGCAGAGAGTAGCTCTTGTCAGGGCTGTGAGGGTCAGGGAAGGTTTCGACGCGGAAGCCTGAGTAGTTGATGCTCTGTTTTTTGGGGGATGTCTGGACGATGTCTTGGAAGATGGTGTCTTCTTCTGGGACCTGACTGACGATACCGGCTCGCCATTCTGGGGTGCCCGACCATCGCTTTTCGCTGGGGAAATATACTTGAATCTGGTTATGTTCAGGGTTCCAGGCGAGTTCGCCTTCGAAATCTGGCGTCCAGAGCACGACTTCTCCAGCACGGGGCAGAAAGGACGGTTGCATGTCCAGCTTTTGGATGTATTCGTCGAGTGGTGAGCGCTCTGCGCGCCAGTCCATGCTTCCAGGCTCTGTGATGTCCTTCTCCTGTAACCCCTGTAGCTCGAGCTGCATAACGGCCATCTTGAACACGTCTGGTGTCCCCTCGTTATCTGTACAAGGGCATGTCGCCGACGAAAGCTTTCCTGGAGGCCTGCCTGGAGGTCGGCCAGGGGGCCTACCAGGGGGTCGTCCTGGCCTTCCTGGTGGTCTTCCCGGTGGCCTTCCGGGTGGTTTGCTTGCGCTTGATCCGGGAGGCCGACCAGGCGGCCTCCCCGGTGGCCTACCAGGGGTTCGAATCGGCGTTCCAGTCCCAGGAGGTCTCCCCCGAGGCCTTCCAGGACCTCGTCTTTCTGAGCCGCCTTCTGTAAATTACTGTCAGTATTGCATAGGCAGTCCGAATACTGGTCGCGACATACCTTGTATTCTCTTCGACATTTTCTCGCAAAGAACACAGGTGCATGGCTCTTGGCCGCCTGTCATAAGATAGTAGAAGTGCGGAAAGAACTGCTTCGTGGAGTTGAAATACACATCTGTCGGATGGCCATAGAGGAAACGATCGTACTGCTGAGAGTCAGGGATATGAATGCACCCAGAAGTAAAGGGCTAAAAACCTACAATGTCGGGGTTTGCAATACGCGGCCTGTCAAATAGAGCATAACCATCAGGCAGACTGTCCAGGATGTATTCCACTCCTAAAAGCAGGGTTAGTGAGGTGGAATAAATGCGAATATATATTCAGTATGCTAGCGTGCAGCGACATGTCTCTTCTCCTTTCTGAACAAAGAACAGCAACTACCATTGGCCTTCACATAACGGTACAATAAGGTACACGATGCGCCAAACATCTCAATATGGATCTGAAGTACAGAGTCCGAAGGGAGTAATGGATAGATAAATCACAAACAACCTCCAAAGCAACCGTGCAAAGGTGTAGAGCATCAACTGAAGTAGAATAAGATCAAAGTAAGTCATGCAATCAACGTACCACGCTCGTAAGCCCCCGTTTTCTGCAGCCACATGGAGGCCAGCTTTTCTCGATAGTAACTATCGTCTGGTCTCAGGAATTTCTCATCTTTGGGCCAGTTGTCCTGGGTGCCGTCGCTGAATGTCCGGTTGATTGGTATTACGACCATTTTTTGGTAGTCTGGTGAAGACGAGTCTTCCATAATGATTGACATTATAGTAGAAGGGGCGTGTTCCCCCTGCAGTAGTTAAATTTAGATAAGATTTGAATAAGAGATGGAAGTAAGCTGGGATTAGTCTGCACGCAAAATGCACATTTTGGGATAGAAATTAACACGTGACTTGATTACTGAATAAAAGAAGAGGGAAAAGTGAAGGGTAAAGATTCAAGAGGCAGGAAGACAAGAACAGAGCTATGCAGCATTGATGATAGTTGAATGCATGGGACAAGAACAGGATCCGCTCTGCCGCCGTGGGTGATGGTCATGTGACTCTACAGATGGGTAAATCATCAGGTTAATCTATTTGCATCATCCAAAAGTCCAGGTACAGATTCACTCGGACACTAAGTCAACATGAATAGAAAATGAAACAATGGTCACAGCGTCGGCTTGTTTGACCTGCAGTGGATGAGAGCCTACTGCTGATCATCCTGTACCTCCACTGCTTCCGATTCAGATTCATAGGGTGGTGGAGAAAGCTCTCCTTCTTCCACCCAGACCTTGCGCAGCTCGTTCTCAATATCCTCCCGACGCTGTTTCCATTCTTCCACCTTGTCAAGCCGCTTCCGTATCTCCTGCAACTCCTTCTCAACTCCCAGCTTCTCCTTGGCGGTGCCGATCCTCTCAAACTCCCATTGCTCGCCCCCTTCGCCAATACTAATGCTAAGGTTGTATGTGTGGTACTTCTTGAGCGATGCGCGTGTGGAGATCGTAATCACGGTGATTCCCCGCTCCTTTGCCCGCTGGTACAGCAGGCCCTCGACATCAGACGAGACCGCTGAGGTTCCTTCATCAAGGAAGGCATAGCGAGGCTCGTGATAGTAAATTCGTGCCAATGCCATGCGTTGCTTCTCTCCTCCACTCAGGACATCCTTCCACTCCTTTCGAGTGTCCCATCCGCCTTCGCGCCCAGGGAGGTAGCCTAGGTGAGCGTCGTCCAGAATTTTCTGCAGTGCAGCATCGGTTACACCTGCCTCGTGCATGTCGATTGCAGTGTGGGGGTAGATTACTTGATCGCGGAGAGTCCCCACGCTGAGATAGGGCCGCTGGGGAAGGAACATGATGCCGTCAAGCCCAAACCCTCTGGGGCGACTGACCAACCCGCGGTACACTGGCCACAGCCCTGATACAACCCGGGCAATGGCAGTCTTGCCGACCCCATTCGGTCCAGATATCAGGAGGTGGTCGCCGGAGTGCACGACGAATGACAGTGACTCGATCAGATCATCGCCACCCCGGGGATATATTGAAGGCGCGACGATGGGAACTTGTTCGAGACGAACACCATCGAAGCCGTTATGAATAGTCCCTTGTACATCCGCGAGAGAGTATAGCTCCGCATGAGAATTGCGTGGGGGGTAGTATGCACTCGCATGCACTCGGTGAAGGGTGGATATCAAGCTGTAGACTCGAGACGTGTACCCAGCCAACTCCGAGATGTCTTTGATACTATACATCATCCGGCCACCTGCATCCGCCAGAGATAGCATCAAACGTTTGTTCGTGATGAACTCCTTCATGCGATCGCGTTCTCGACCAGTCTCCTTCGGCACGTCCACAAGCTCCAGGGCACCACCCATGCCGCCCCAGGCTGGAAGAAATATTGGCAGTGATGTGATCAGGTAGCCAAACGCAGACCAAGCGTATTTCAGAATGACGTCTTCGAGCATGTTGTAGCGGATCTTGAGGCTATAGATACCCTCCATCCAGCGCTGAAGGTCTTTGAAGCTTCTCATAAGGAAAACACGTTCGATGTCCGCGCCGCCATAGAAAGAGATTTCCTCAGCATTGGCGAGCAACCGTGAATGTAGACCCCGGAAGTCACCCTCTTTCTTTCCCTCCACAGCCTTTAGCTTTCCAAACGGTGGTGAAAGCTTCCTCAGAACTGCTGCGGTACTGAAGTAGCCCGTGAGGATACCGGTAAGGGCCAAAGGCCCGAGAGAACGATACAGTTGATAGTTAAACACAAATAGGTCCATCATGGGCTTCCCCATGGACGAGTATAACGCTGCTGCTGCAGAACAGAAGAGAGTAAGGTCCTGGGTAATGAATTGGTCTGGTCCTTGGCCAACACCGCCATCCAAATTCATCAACTTGTAGTAGTTGTTATCGCCAGTAAGATAGAGATCGTGAATATACCTCGTTAATCGGGTCCGGAACGCAATAGACACCTTCGATTGAAGGAACTTGATCATGGCATTGGTGTAGGAAGCCAGTGTGCCAATCCCGCACCATTTGAGAATGCCCCAAGCGAAAGCGCGCCCTTTGCCCGCAACAAGATCTCTTACAATCTCGCCATCAAGCCGTGCGATCAACAGAGACAAGTACGTCCGCAAGAGCAAGAAAACCCCATGGCCCATTAATAACCCAGTTTCTTTGCTACCCCATCTCGGGACCATGATACTCCCTAGGCTGAGAAATTGATGAAGGAATGCAAGGTTGATCCCGGGCTTTGTGGTTGGCGGCGGTATTTGATTCACTGATTCACCGTCGCCGACACGGGCGGCAGCAGGTGGATTCAAGAACAACCGCCGATGCGCATCGAAAGTCGTTTGTTTGGTCGGATGAATCACAACCTTAGAGGTCATGGAGCCCTTATAGGGCACATAGATGGTACGAGTGCCATCCTTGCCTCGAATCCCGGAATTCCGACGCAGCAGCCGTCTTCCTCGCGCACGTTCTTTGGCCCTTTCGCTGAACCATTTGTAGCCTCCATAACCGGAACCCAAAATAGATAGAATCAGTGCAATAGTGGCGATGATTTGGGTGGTCTTTGATGAACGCTTGATCCGGGAGCGAACGAGACTGGTGTATTTGTTGTACAGCGCCACGAGAGGATCTTCTCGACGACGAAGCGTTGAATGAGCGGCCATTATGCTTCATGTATAGCCACAGAACCACTTCTAACACAATCTGTGGGCACCTTGTAGGACAGTGCCCTCACGGCAGCTGGCATTCTTAGGCCAGACTGTCGAAGGCCATCAGGAGATGGGGAGAAGCGTCCGCAGGGATGACGCGTTCTATATCGGTCTGTGGTGATATTTCGAGGTCGGATATGCTGTAAGCAAGAAATATGAGTAAGAATAGGTGTGGTTGTGAGACAGTTGTTAGCGGACAACTCACTCAGGAGCTCACATTATGGTTGAAGCTGACAATGTTGTTGAGAGTTAATGCATGTGAAGACCTCGGGCCAACATTGCGGAGGGGCGGAGGCGCACCTCACGTGCGGAGTCCCCAGACCTTCATTACATCAAGTATCAGTAGCCACAAGTTTTAGCCTTCACAGAGACCTGCTCGCTATTTTAGGAGATTGCCTATGAGCCTAATCTCCGAAATGTGGTGTCGATGGCTCTTTAGTTGCTTTTAGATGTTCAAGTAACTAATGAAGCCGTTGACATCATTCGGTCGATGTCGGAGTAGTTAGTGAATCGCTTGATTTCACAGATCTTGTACCACAAATACTACTACTAATTGAGCCATCCAAAATTGCATCAAATAATCGGCAGTAATTGGCTGTGATAATTGTCTGCGTTATTGAGATTTGCAGGTCCATCCTCTGGCAGTCTTACTATGTAGGCCCTTAAGCGCCCAACTTCCTAAAAGGGACCCAGGCACTGCGACCAAGACCGGCCGGATAGTGCAGGTAGTCGTTACGAGGTTGGTGGTATTATCTGATAGAAGTAGTTGTTATCTGTATCATTTAGTTGATCTGGTGCCGGTCGATTAAGCTTCAATAGCGGGAGGTTGATGGTAAAATACAAGGTCTACCAATATCGCACGAGGCACCTAAACTTGAGGTCAGTGCTGGTCCGCTAGACTTTAATCGAAGAACCATATGGCTGGCCGGCACTTTGGCAACCAGGGAAGCCCGGGAAGATAACGCAAATGTGGATCGTTCTCAGACTTGAACATGGTATTCCTTGATTCCGATATTGTGGCCTAGCTCTCCCATTTGTCCTCGATCGTATGACTTGAAAGCCAGAAAGCGAAGGCATGAACATGAATGAATTATCTCGAAGAACAAAAATAGCATCCGAAGGCTGCAGTCTCGCACTTGATGCGGGGGTTGGATACAAGAGTGGGGATGGCATGGAGATCAGGTATTACGGGGTAAATTACCAGCTCTTTCTCTAGCTGCTGAAGCTGAAAGATGGTATACAATCCAAACAGTGTCCGCATACCTGTCTGAAACCAAAACTTGACAATCACTTGGATCTCAAGACAAGCAAAGTATTTCGTAGAATGCGCCATCCCTTGTGTGTCAATGATCAACCAGGAAGGATACTGGAATGTATCACCCAGACAGAAATGTTGTGTGTTATTGGGGTTGTTGCTTAACTCCTACTTAGCAGCCCCCCGCAAACTATGGATGGCTGCAGTGGCATCTTCTTTGGCAGGGATGACTATCACCATTTGAAGCAGACTGTTATTTACGAAGGCAGGGTAACACAGACGAATGAAAAGGGAGGTTGATACCTACAGCGTATAGAATATTGAGACTAGGTATGTGTGCAGGTATGCAAGCATGGGTAGGTGGCTAGATAGGATGATCGACTCTTCTTTCGACAACTGCACGGGCCTATTCCTGTTGAGAAACATCTGATTCGCAGGCAGTTCCAAGTAGATGCATGGAATGACGCCCCGGGCGCATTATCCGCCAGCCATGGTGATGAGCCTTTCTAGATTAGAGCATGTTAATGTTTTTGGAAGATGACCTCTAGATTTCTGAAAAGCTTGCTACGGACGGCGACCTTGGTCCCAGCGAAGGAGGAATTAGATTTAGATTGACGGGCGACGACATGGGAGACCTGAGCAGTACTAGCTGAGGCCGATCACGGTCGGTGATAGATGGCCAATGGTAGGACTTATTCTCAACGGACAATAATTGATGCATGTCTTGATTGACCCAATAAAATACCAGAGGGGCTGAAGATATTAGATGTGAGCGGAGTCGTGGTACTGTCTAAGGCATGCGGTTTTTTAGGCTGGAAGGCTAGCAGGACGAGAAGCGAATGAAGATAGTGACTTCTTCGGAGTGGAGGTGCCCGTCCAGAATCTCAATCCCAGAAGTCGGTAATTTCGACTCGATCCTGTATCATGAGGTACTGATCACCCACAATAGCTGTAACTTATTCCTGAGCCTTGCCTACTTTAGTAGTGGTGCTGCTCGCTTGGCTGAGCAGATGGCCGTCGTCACCTGGAACTGTTTCCAGGGTCTTGAAGAGGATGGAGGGAGGGCCAGGGTGTAGGTCTCCCATGATTGTTGTGGACTTGTGGTCATGAGGGACGAGAAGCTGCAGGTTCAGTGAAGGTGGTGTGCACCATGAATTGATCCGACTCGGGCAGTGCAGGTTGTTACGGAAGAGAGATGCTGTGGCTACAGAAACCACGGCCCCCTCCCAAGAGACACCATGAAATGGGAGCAGATATGCATGACTTTGAAAGGACTATTGAGCTGCCAGATATACGCCAGCCTCACCTTGTCACTGGTGATTGAGACCACCTTTAAGTCTTGGCTACCTCCGATTCGTCCTGGAAGCGCCCACGGAACAAAAGACGAGCGAGATCCCTGCACCAAGCCTTCTCGGGGTAACAATGATAGCACTTACTTTCGGGGTTTGCTATGCGATCCGTGAAAGAAAATAATTGAAAATAAAATAATCGGACTTTCATGACTTCTCCCATTTTTATTGATATTTTGGATGGGTGCGACCGCTATAGTTATACTCACGACGACATGAGCCCATTCTCGAGTCGGAACTTGTTCCGGATGACCTCGAGTCGAAGGCTAGTTACTACAGAGGACTACTTACTTCTACCGGGGGCCGGGCTGCTGTGGGTAGGCGTGTAACTCACTAGCTTCTGCCTATGCATGAATTACATCAGTCTGGATCAAATGAAGTATGGGGGGGGTCCTGCTGGTATCCTTATCGTCCACATGTCTGTGCAATAGTTAATTTGAATCTTTTGGAAAGCGTGGCTCACCATGGTGCTCATGGTAAGTTGATTTACCGGTTCCAATGGGAGGTAATCAGGGCGTGCAAACTTCAAGGTACGGGGCATCTCCCGTCAAATCAGGCCCGAACCTGCTGCAAATGGAGACTGAACCTCCGTCTCCAATGCTGGACCAGCCAGTCGCAGCAGTTCTGAGGGTGTCTGGCCCCAATTCTGCAGCCCTGCATCTTTTGGTCCAGACCAGACTTGGCCTGTGTTCTCCCGCTTTTTCTTTTTCCATTTTTCGTTCCTTTTTTCATTCGCCTTTTTCTCCTGGGGCCCGTACTAATTTCTCATGCGGGTTCCGATGTCTGCTTGCTGCTTTTCCTTTTACCCCTTGCCCCCCAAGGCACATCCGAGCATTCATCCACCACCATCAACGTCCCTACTTACTACTTACTAGTACTTAACAGTACCAGTTAATTTAAGGTCATCACCTCCGTAAAAGTCAGCGCATAGCAACACGAATGGAGTAATTTTAAATTATTTTATTTTATTATTATCATTCATGTATTATTATTATTATTGCGATGATAATGTTAATTTTGGTTTTATTACTATCATCATTGCTGTATTCGCCCACCCACTTCCACCTCCCTCCTCCCCCTCCCCTCCCTTCTCCTCTCTCTCTCTCTCTCTCTCTCTCTCCCCCCTCGGGCTCTACGTATTCTTTTGCTATTTCCCTCTCTTTCTCGGTTCTCTTTTCACTCTAGTTTCCTCCCCCTTTCCCCTTCCTCTTCCTCTTCCTGCTTAAACCGGTTAGCCGCCAGTCAAGGAGCTAAGGAATAAGCCACTCTCCACTATCATCAACCGGCTTGCTTGACCATATCAAAGCACCACCGCACCTGGGCTGATTCCCCTTGGACTTCCGTGCTCCCCTGTCGCTCATCCCGACTGTAGAAAACCGTCATCAGACCGTGTCCAACTAGTGGGACAAAAAGGTCTCTCTTAGCCGCTGGCTACACTTTTGACACTTCCTTTGCCCATCGACTAAGCGAAAGGGACGAACCCACAGCACAAGAATCCGATCATCAACCGCCGATCAGATTACTTTCGGGGGGGTCCTCTTTTAGAGTTCCTTTTCACCTTAACTTCCCTCCCGCTGGCCAACAACCCGTCAGCCCCAGTGCAACAAGCGATCATACCCTAGATCGTTTACGTTACAGCTATTATTCTTCTCCAACTAACTAACTAACTCAACTAACTACCGGGCTGTCTGGCCGGTGACCTTTGCCTTAACCTTGCCTGAACCTTTTATCATTATTACCTACAACCAACTACTTCGTACCACTTAGAAACAAAAGAGGTCACCAAACGAGTCAAGAGGAGCTGCTTGCGCCCTGGCTCAACCACGTGATCCCCTACGTTCAAACAGTCCTGCACTTCACACGCTCGAACCCTTCCATTCCTGCGATCATCCCCAGACTTGACTTCCAGATCGTGCCGGTCGCATATGCTTTTCTGCTCGCCTGCCGCCCTGTATTCTGGACATTGGAGTGCGGATTGATTGGATCTGCTCATTGCGAACGAGTCTTTTAGTGCTGCGCACTAGCCTTATTCAAGGCGGTGGTCCGGGTCCCAGAGCTAAGCAACTTACTGGTACTACCACCTTAGTAACCTGCCTCCATCCCATCCATTCAGTACGTGCGAAGAGCCAGGAGGCGTGACTGCACCCTCTCTCTCTCTCCTCTTCTTCTTCCTTGCCGGCGCAACCCCCCTCCCTCCCCTTCTCGGCGGTAACCCTGGTGGTAATTGTCCTCCGACTCCTCTCTATCTCTCTCTCGCTCTCTCTTTTCTTCTCTCGTCACTCTTCTCTCCCTTCGTTTTTTTTTGGTTTCCCCGTCGGCTTAAGTGAACCTCGCTCTGCTACCCTCAATGC